AATCAAACTGGAGGCTCCCCAGCAAGCTCTCCCAGTGCTTTTGGGTGTCACCTTGCTCCCTGTAAGGAACCTCTGTGGACAGGGCTTTGGGGGAGGGGGAGTGCTCTGGCAGTGGCTCCTCTTCCTGGCTGCTGTGTTCTAGAACCTTCCAGATGGCATTTACCAATACAGATTCCTGGACATCCCTCAAACCTACGCAGCACCTCTGTTCCCAGTGAACTCAGTCACGCCAGGGCAGGAACATTCCCAGAGATCCTTGAAGAAGACGAGGGTGTTGGGGCCACAGCTGACCTCGGCTAAAACTAGGCAGCCCATCTTGTCCCTCACATGGGGTAGGCAACGAAAGACATGGGTATATTCTGGCTTGCAGCCTGGAGGTGTCCCCTTCACCCACAGCAGGGACTGGCGCTTTATTTAAGATGAATAACTTCCCATCTAAAATTACTGTTATGAAAGGCTGCGGCCATCCTGCCATTTTGCTTTATTGTAATTCATTTGTTTTGAAATAGTGGTTTCCTTTTGTTGTCGTTTTGTTTTGTTTTGAGACGGAGTCTCCCTCTGTTGCCAGGCTGGAGTACAATGTCGTGATCTCGGCTCACTGCAACCTCCGCCTCCCGGGTTCAAGCGATTCTCCTGCCTCAGCCTCAGGAGTAGCTGGGACTATAGGCGCCCGCCACCACGCCCAGCTAATTTTTGTATTTTTAGTAGAGACGAAGTTTCACTGTGTTAGCCAGGATGGTCTTGATCTCTTGACCTTGTGATCCGCCCGCCTCGGCCTTCCAAAGTGCTGGGATTACAGGCGTGAGCCACCATGCCCGGCCAGAAATAGTGGTTTCTTGATGATGTATTTCTCACTGAACTTATTTCATGTTGGTGGAATCTCCCATCGGTTGCATAGGGGCCCCTGGGGTGACCCTGTTCTTGGCAAAGAACATACCTGTATAAGACCCCCAAACCAGGCAGTCCCTAAAATTGCAAAGCCCTGACCTCCCCTTCCTGAGCAATTTGCTGCCAGGTCTGAGGGCCTTGAAACCTCCACACTGTGTGTCTAGCGATGGCGCCATGCGATGCTTCTGAAGGTGGCTGGGGTCAGCATTGGGAGAGATGCTCTCGACATGCATCTGTCTCCCTCCACCCAAAGGCCAAGTGGGGGCGATTTCTGTCCCAGTTCAGGCAGATCCACCCTGGGACTGCACAGCGCTGACACACTCAGGTGACTCAGGTGATGAAGCTGTATCAGGTCAGGCACAAACAGGGCTCGATTGCAGCTCTCTGTGTGGGAACTTGGGAGGCCACATCAGCCCCCAACAAGCCTGATAGCAGACCCCCTGGGAACACGAGTGCTGGGATCCCATCTCCTGCAGCCTCATCTTGGGACAGGGCCAAGTCACAAAGCCACACGTGAGCAAGAGGCCTTTCAAACTTCTGTGATTTTTACTTTAACAGAAGTGTTTATGCTGGGCACGGTGGCTCACACCTGTAATTCCAGCACTTTGGGAGGCCTAGGTGGGCGGATCACTTGAGGTCAGGAGTTCGAGACCAGCCTACCCAAGATGGTGAAACCCCCATCTCTAATCTAAAGATACAAAAATTAGTCCAGCATGGTGGCACACACCTGTAATCCCAGTTACTTGGGAGGCTGAGGCAGGAAAATCACTCGAACCCAGGAGGCAGAGGTTCCAGTGAGCCGAGATTTTGCTACTGCTACTCCAGCCTGGGCAACAGAGTGAGACTCTGTCTCACAACAAACCAACAAAAGAGTTTTTAAAAATAAAGTATCATCGGTTACATTTACCTGACACCTGGGTTCCCACCTCCCAGATTGGACAGGTAAAGATTTCTATCGTATTTGTTTAGAGTTTTTAAAAATGAAATAAGTCAACCATGATATAAAGTTATGATAATATATTTATTATAAATTATATATAACATATATTCTGTTACATACTGGACGCTATACTACATCCTGTGAAACTGAAGTCATTTCTTCCACCACCCCTAGGCTTACTCCGCTGCCTGCTGAGGACAGCCACCATGTGGTAAATTCACTGTGTGCCTTGCTGTTCTGTAAAATAGCTCTACATTGATCACACGTTTGGCTGTAAAACACATTTGTTTGAATTCTCAGCGAATTAAAAAACACTGAAATTATACCAACCACACTCTCTGACCCCAGCCCAACAAAAATAGAAATCAGCACTAAGAGGATTGCTCAAAACCATACAATTACATGGAAATTAAACAACCTACTCCTGAATGACTTTGGAGTAAAAAATAGCTTTGCATGCAAATATATAGAAACCATAAGCGATGTACAGCGGTGTTTTAGGTGCTTTAAAAAAACCTGAGCCAACGCGTCATACCATGTGTTATGTCATGTCACGTGTCACCTGAAGCTTTGCTCTTTCACCCTGTGGTCATGTACACAGCTGGCTACGGTCTTCTCTCTGCAGAGCTCTCTTCCCATGCATGGCAGCTCCCTGTGAGGGGCGATTGGGTGGGTTCTGGAATTTGCTAACTCAAGCAGTGCTGAATGCACGTGTGCACGTGTGCATGCATGTGTGCACGAGTGCACGGGTCCTGCTGTCTGTCCCACAGCAGGGGACTGAGGAGCAGAGTGGCGTGGTCAGTTGCTGTCCACACTGGCCATGCCCGCAGCCGTGCCATTGTTGGCATTGGCTGCTGCTGCTGCTTCACCTCCCCTACACCTGCACTCAGAGGGAGGCTCTGTCATGCTTGTGGCCTTGGGTGCAGGGACAACGCCGCCACCCAGAGGAGAGGCCTCACCTCCAGCCCCTCGTTGAAGACTGGCAGCCTGGCCCTTCTGCACTCATGCAGGCCCACCCAGCACCAGGAAGGAGACCCTGGGAGTGGCCCCTGCGTGTCAGCATTGGTTCTGACCTGCAGACATCCCAGCCCTGGGCCTGAGGAGGCTGTGGGGCCTTGCCTGGAGGAGCAGGGTACACTCAGCTGCGAGCCACTTGCCTGGGGCTGCAGCCCCAGGGGACACGGGCCTGGGACATCCTGTGCCACATTTGTGGCCAGGCCCCCTGGGAGCCCCTGGGACTCTAGGAGGAGAAGCAACCCTTCCTGCCCCATGGCCCTGGGACTTCTAGAAGGTCACTCTGAGGTCACCTCCTGCAACCCGGCCCCAGAGTTGGGAAAAACTTGGGGGCCAGAGCATCATCTGGAGTTGTTTTTGTTCTTCTTTCAGATCTGACCCCACAGTTGTGCAATGAGGCTGAGCTGTGGGGCTCATAAGGCTTGTGGGAGTGGCAGGTGGGACGAGGTAGGGGAACCAGGCCCCACCTGCTGGGCACCTGCTGCCCGCCAGGCTGGGCCGGGTTCTGCAGCCGGCAGGAGCACAGGCAATGAGCAGCCAAGCCCAGCAGCCTCGCACTGCGGCTGGGCGGCCTCCCTCACGCCCCAGCCCCCCGCGGGCTGCAGATGCACAGGCTGCCGGCTGCCTTGGGAAGGACGGTGGGGCCGCTGGCGCTGGTAAGGGTTGTCCTCGGCCAGCTGCCGCCTCCCTCCATCCGGCTTTTGTTTGGTTTTATTGGGAATGGCTGGAGGAAAGGCCGCCACAGATGGGGACGGATCTTAACCTGAAAGGCTGCATACAGGGAACTCAGCAGAGGGCTCAGAAAAGACGGCGCCAGGTCAGCTGGGGACTGGTGAGCGGTTTTCGTCTATTGCAGCCGACTGGCTTTCCCAGAGCATGCATTTAGAGTATGTGTCTGTATTTATGAGATTTTACGTCGTCTTCTAAGGGTGTGTGTTATCTCTGAACTGTGTGTGCATGTTTGTGTGCACATGTATGTGTTAATGTGTGTGGGTGCATGTGTGTTGGCATGAGTATATGTGTGTGCACGTGTGTTTGTGTGTGCATGTGTGTTTTGTGTGGGTGCATGTGTGTGCATGTGTGTGTTGGCGTGTATGTGTGTGCCCATGTGTGTTTATGTGTGTGTATGAGTGTGTGTGCATGTGTGTATGCGTTTTTGTGTGGGTGCATGTGTATTTGTGGGCATGTGTATGCACAAGTGTGTTTGTGTGTGTGGCTGCTTTGGCTTGGGGGTGTCAGAGGCAGCCTTGGGAAGGAGGCAGCCATGCTGTTGCAGGAGGAGGCTATCGGCAGCCCCATGGGCTGGGGTGACGTGGCTCAGTGACACCTCCTCCTTGTAAAGTGGGGGCAGGATGATGACCAGCCTGTCTCATCTCATGAGAGCACCCCCCCAGGGGAGTTTCGCCCGGTGCCCAGATGGATGGGGCAGGGCTCTGGAGATGGCGTGGTGACCTTGCAGAGGCCCAGGCTGCCGTGGGAAAACGTTTGTGGTTTGAGGCCCTGTGGGCCGTGGTGCTGGCTGGTTGGGCAGGCCTCGTGCGACCCAGGGCTGCCAAAGGCAGGCGTGGTCCCCTCAGCCTGAGGATTTGACAGGCAGGCTGCTGGCTCTGAGATTGTCCTGCGGGTGCCATGGTGATGCCAAGGCATTGTCTGGTTTTTCAAGGGGCGTGGCTAGAGGGCAGAGTCCTTGAGTCTCCACCAGACCTGTTTTGACAGAACAGTGACAGGCATTAGGACATGTGGCTTAGTGGGATTTGAGCTCAGGAGGATCTGGGACGTGGGCGCTATTAGATTAGACTTTTTTTTTTTTTTTTTTTTTTGCGGGGGATGGAGTTTTGCTCTTGTCACCCAGGCTGGAGTGCAATGGTGCAATCACAGCTCACTGCAACCTCCGCCTCCTGAGTTTAAGTCATTCTGGTGCCTCAGCCTCCTGAGTAGCTGGGATTACAGATGCGCACCACCACGCCCAACTAATTTTTGTATTTTTAGTAGAAATGGGGTTTTCACTATGTTGGCTAGGCTGGTCTCGAACTCCTGACCTCAGGTGATCCCCCCACCTCGGCCTCCCAAAATGCTGGGATTACAGGGGTGAGCCACCGCGCCCAGCCCTGGTGCTATTAGACTTCTAACTGTTCACCCTGCGTTGCTTCTCTTCCAGGGATAAACGCCCAGGCCCGGAGGCTGCAGCGGAGTCGTGCAAAGGGAACCCCAGCCCTGGCCCTGGGGGATGCCCGGAGCTCTCCTCCGCCCCGGTTGCGCCGCACAGTCAGTGAGACCAGCCTGAGCCCAGTGAACGCCCTGCCTGCTGCCACCCAGGGCTCTGAGGAGCCCGGCCCGGACACCATGCGGTACTCGCTGTACCATTCCCCGCACTTGCTCCTTCTGCAGGGCTACAGCCAGCAGCACGTGAGCCTCCCCTCCTGACACTCACTGCTCGGTGCCACTGCAGGGACAGCAGGCGGGACTCAGAAGTCAAGGCCTCCTCCCGCCTTTAGCCCAGTCGGCCACGAGCTCTGTGGCTGCAGCCCCTCTGTCTGTGCCGAGGCTGTGGAGTGGGGTGGCAAGGGCAGATGTAGAGTCATCCACATTTTCCCTGTCCAGGCCACGGCGGGCGGCGGTGGGGGCTCCTCACTTCCCCAGCCCCAGAGTGGGTGTCCTCAGCACCAGGCGCTTTCAGGGAGAACTCCTCAGGCCTTCCCAGGCTGGGTCTCCCACCTGGCTCTGGGGAAGGGCATGGGCAGGTGGCCAGAGCAGGCGGCCAGGGCCAGTCTGCTTCCTGCTCCAGGCGAGGGGGGTGCTGAGTCACCAATTGGTGGCCACATTCTCTGAGGGGGCACCGAGAAACGGCCCTACCCCACCCCCACCTGCCCAGAGCAGTTTCTCACCACTTCCATCTGAGCAGGCAGGCTGTCGCCCCAAGCAGATGCCAGGCACAGGGCCACCTCGCCTCACCTTGCGGGACACTTGCCCTGCCAGACACCTGTTTTCCCTGCCCCCTGCTCGCCCCGCCCCTGCTGGCCCCACCCCTGTTCGCCCCGCCCCCTGCCCTCCTGTGCAACCAGCTCTTTTGCTGCTCATTTCCATGAGCACTTTACAGCCATAGGGCTCCTGTGCGCAGGTCTCAGGTGGCATCTTCTCTCGGGGCGGTGCTCCCACACAGGCGGCGGTGCTCCCACACAGTTTTGGGGATGACCTGGGGGAAGTTATGAAGTCCTTGGTCCAGTCTGTAGAACCAGTGCCTGTTTCCCCGCCGGCCCTGACCTGGCCTCGCCCTGTCTCAAAGTTGGGTCGCTCCCGGGTGTCTCGTGTGCCCCCTGAGCTCCTCTGGGAAACCAACCTCCACTGGGATGGGCCCGGACATCGAGAGGCGGGTTCCTGAGAGCTGCCGGGGCTCTGGTTTGGGGATGGCCAGGGACATGGAGAGCCTGCAGGGACAGCATCCCAGCCACGCGGCTTCAGCAACCAGTGACTAAAGACCGGCCACTTTTCCCGTGTGCTGCTTGCATTGCGCCTGCCCTGAGCGGAGTCTCTTTCAGGACAGCCTGGTGTATGTGCTCAACCGGGACCGGCACACGGTGGGCCAGCGAACCCCCTCCAGCAAGCCCAGCATCAGCCTCTCGGCCCCCGACATCCTGCCTCTGCACTGCACCATTCGCCGGCACCCGCTACCGGACAGCGGCCAGCCCGGGGGGAGGCTGGTCCTGGAACCCATCCCCGGGGCGCCCATCTCCGTCAACTTCTCCGAGGTGGGGCGCAGGACCGTGGTGCTGCACCACGGGGACCTGCTCTCCCTGGGGCTCTACTACCTGCTGCTGTTCAAGGACCCCGCGCAGGCCCAGCCCCTGCCGGCCCGGGCCTTGGCGCGCCTCCGGGCCGTGCCGCAGAGCTGCCGGCTGTGCGGAGCCGCGCTTGGGGCCCGGGATGCCACCTGCCCTACTCAGGCCGCCCTGCCCCGGCGCCAGCAGCTGCTCCTGGAGTTTGAGCCCCACCTGGAGGACACGCTGCTGCAGAGGATCATGACGTTGATCGAGCCAGGCGGCGACGACCACAAGCTGACCCCCGCCTTCTTGCTGTGCCTCTGCATCCAGCACTCGGCCACCCACTTCGAGCCGGGCATGTTTGGGCAGCTCCTGCTCAAGATAGCCAGGCTGATCCGCGAGACTATCTGGGTCAGTGTGCTTGGGGTGGGTGGTCTGGGTCCTGTGCTGGTCTGGGGGAGGAGGGGGCCCGGAGCTGGCCCTGGCTGGGGGGCGGGAGCGCCTCTATCTGACCCCTACGGTGCTGTGCCGCTGAACGCAGGGTGGCCCTTCCCTGCCTGTCGCTGCCTCCCAGCCCCACAGGCCACCAGAAGCAGCCCCAGAGCCCAAGGCGTCAGTTGCAGCACTTTGCCTCTCAGGGTGGGGCTTACATGAAGTCCAAAGTCACCTCCTGAGCTCTGGGCTTGTACCTTCCCTGGGGTCCAGCTGGGCCCAGCACTGTCACGTGCCAGGAGTGAGGTGCCCCTGAGCCTGGGCACCACGAGGCCGAGGTGACATTGATAGCTCTCACAGGCCCCTACCCAAGAGCCCCAGAAGCCCCTGTCTGTGCTAGTGCCCTGTGCCGGTTGAGCAGATATCCACTGGAGCCACCCCTGATCCGAGTTTGGAGGTGCAGGGCCCGTCGACTTTTGTGCGTTGACAAACTTTCCTCCAGGCCAGCGTCTCTCATCCCCGGCCCTGTGGACATTGTGGCAGGAGAGCTCCTTGCTGTGGGTCTGGCCTGTGCATTGCAGAGGATTCAGCAGCATCCCTGGCCTCCACCCCTTGATGCTGGTCACACCCCGCCACACACACACATACACACATCCATGGCTACGGGCATTGCCAATGTTCCTGGGAATCCAGTGTGGCTGCCAGTGGGCAGGACTGCCCTGGACCCATGAGTGCTGGAATAGGCATCACACAGTCATGGCCCCCCCACTGGGCCCCACCCCACAGTGACGTGGCTCCCAGGGACCCAAAGGACAGCTCATAGTTGTTCAAGTTCGTTCAGAGACCCTCCGACCCTCGCTAGTCTGGGCCCTGCGTATCCCCGGCAGACATGGGAAGGGGGAACCGCTTGCCTGTAGAAACCTCATTAGTTTCTCATATAGGAATCCACATTTTAAATGTCTGAGACTTTTAAAAAGTAAAAGCCAGCACAGGCTGCCCTGTCCAGAGGTCAGTAGGAGCCGTCTCTATGCACTGTGGGTGTTGTAATCCGGGTGTCTGCGCCTCGTTCCCTCGGGTTCCCGGCATGGGATTTGATGGGAGTGCCACTGCAGCATGCCCCTGTCCCTTCCGTGCAGTCACAGACACAGGGCCAGGTGATGTCTGTGTAGTGTGCGTCCACATCGTGGCCGCTGTGACCGAGAGTTACTTGCTGGCCAGAAGTCATAGGTTTTCGCACGATCATTGTCATTTCCCGAGTCTCGTCTGCGCCAGGCACTTACTTACAAACCAAACGCTGTTTAATTTCTTTCTCACAACCACCCTCACGATGTAGATACCGCATCCCACGTCACTGAGGTACCAGGGAAACTGAAGCCAGGGGGTTGTAAGCCACTTGCGGAGGGACCCGGGTCCCAGCCTGCGTCCTAGCCACCTGGAGCTGGCTGTGTGGCTGGCCCACTCCCCGCAGCACACCAGGGCTCACCCTGCCCCTAGGCTACAGGCTCTGAAACAGAGGCTCCCAGATGTGAATCGCCTGGCCCAGGAATTGAGCTTATAGACATCAGACCGAGCCTGAGTTCACCTCTTGCCCCCGCACCCACTACCCCATGCGAATGTTATTTGCGCGTTTGTTTACTGAAATGTGTGACTCTGTCGCCACTGCCCTGTCCTCATTCCTCACCAAACATATAGGCAGATGCTTAGAGTCTATGCGCAGTCAGCCATCACGGTTACATTTAGCTGGATAATAACTTGCTACTAAGCCAAGAATAATTTTTTTGTTTTTTTCTGAGATGGAGTCTCGCTCTGTCACTCAGGCTGTAGTGCGGTGGCGTGATCTCGTCTCACTGCAACCTTCGCCTCCCAGGTTCAAGCGATTCTCCTGACTCAGCCTCCCGAATAGCTGGGATTATAAGCATACACCACCATACCCGGTTTATTTTTGTATTTTTAATAGAGATGGGGTTTCACCATGTTGTCCAGGCCAGTCTCGAACTCCTGACCTCAAGTGATCTGCCCACCTTGGCCTCCCAAAGTGCTGGGATTACAGGCGTGAGCCACCTTGCCCAGCCTCTACTATTTTTTAAATAGCTGGTTGTTATGTAAGCTAGAGAGTTGTGAGATACTCTATTGTAGGAAACTTGTAGGTCACAGTCGGTAATGGAATGGGAAGATGTTTAAGTCACATGGAAAATGTCCTTTCCAGCACAGCTTGAATAAATAGTGTCACACAGGATGCCTGGGGCAGCATGGCTTGTTTTCATGTCAATGGTATAATGTGTATCTGAACGTGTCCCTGTGTTAGCCTGTTTTTCTCACTTGCTTTTTCTCCTGCTTTGTAATTGTAGGAGAAAACCAAAGAACTAGCAGAGAAACAGGCGCAACTGTGAGTATGACCTGGTTATTGTGCCCGTCTCTGAGCAGCAGGTCCCGGGGGCTCACACTTCCCGGGGGAGCCAAGTCCTGAGGGGTCTCCCCACGCCTTGGGGTCAGCTCCGGGCTTTGTCCTTCCATCCAAGCAGCGACCTTTTTTGCTTCTTTAGTCATCACCCTGGGAAGCTCTGAGTTGGGAAATTGCTTCAGGGCACCCTTAAGACTGGATGGGTGAGATCTTCTTTTTTTTGTTTTGTTTTGTTTGAGATGGAGTCTTGCTCCATCCCCAGGCTGGAGTGCAATGGTGCAATCTCGGCTCACTGCAACCTCCACCTCCCAGGTTCAAGGGATTCTCTTGCCTCAGCCTCCCGAGTAGCTGGGACTGCAGGTGCGCACCTCCATGCCCGGCAATTTTTTTTTTTTTTTTGTATTTTCAGTAGAGACAGGGTTTCACCATGTTGACCAGGCTGGTCTCGAACTCCTGAACTCAAGTGATCCACCTGCCGTGGCCTCCCAAAGTACTGGGATTACAGGCGTGAGCCACCATGCCTGGCTTTTTTTTTTTTTGGAGAATCTTCACAATTTTATTAAGTATGTATTTTTCACTTTTATTTTAAGTTCAGGGGTACAAGTGCAGCTTGTTATGTAGGTAAACTTGTGTCATGCAGGCTTGTTGTACAGATTATTTCATCACCCAGGTATTAAGCCTTGTACCCATTTGTTGTATTTCCTGATCCTCTCCCTCCTTCCAGCCTCCACCCTCTGAAAGTCCCCAGTGTCTGTTGCTCCCCTCTCTGTGTCCACGTGTTCTCATCATTTAACTCCCACTTGTAAGTGAGAGGGTATTTAGTTTTCTGTTCCTGCGTTAGTTTGCTAAGCATAATAGCCTCTAGCTCCATCCATGTGCCTGCAAAGGACAAGAGCTCATGCTTTTTTTTTTTTTTTTTTTGAGATGGAGTTTCGCTCTTGTTGCCCGGGCTGGAGTGTAATAGTGCAATCTCGGCTCACTGCAACCTCTGCCTCTCGGGTTCAAGCGATTCTCCTGCCTCAGCCTCCGGAGTAGCTGGGATTACAGACATGCACCACCACGCCCAGCTAATTTTTTTTTTTAAGCAGAGTCTTGCTCTGTCGACCAGACTGGAGTGCAGTGTCGTGATCTCGGCTCACTGCAAGCTCCACCTCCTGGGTTCATGCCATTCTCCTGCCTCAGCCTCCCAAGTAGCTGGGACTACAGGTGCCTGCCATCACGGCCAGCTAATTTTTTTTTTTTTTGTATTTTTAGTGGAGACGGCGTTTCACCTTGTTAGCCTTCTCCTCCCTTGCTCTCCCCTGATTCTGGGTTAGAAGTAACCTGCTCCTTCAGGGAAAGGCGCAGCTCCTGGGTTAGAGGTAGGGCAGTGCACCGCCACTCTCCAACGGCTGTTTGCACAGAAAGCACTATCTCTACCCTAGACACTGCTGGCGGGCTTGGGAAACCATTTGGTTGGATCTGATACAGACGCACAGCCCCTGTGGCCCACATTCCCACTCTCGAGTGGGCCCTGGAGAGACACCTGCTTGTGGAGGGCAGTGTGTCTGCACAGGAGCTGAAGCCGCCACATGACTCCTCCAGGCAGAGGGCTCAGCGGTAGCAGGGAATGACCTTCAGCCACTGCTCTCTCAGTGCAGCTGAATCCAAGACAATGCTTGGAAAAAGCACCCAGCACAGTGTCTGTGGTACAGTTAAATGCATATACACACACACATACACACACACATGTGTGATATTCACAGCCAAACCATCCTGTTTAAGACACACGAGAGATGACACTGATGAAGGCAGAGTGGAAGGTGGTGGCCATGCTAGGCAGTGAGGGAGGGAATGCGTCTGGGGGGCTCAGGCTGAGTGGCTGGCAGCACCCCCTTAAGTCAAGCTGTGGTACACAGAGGCTTGTGTGATTCCCATCTGTGCCTTTATTAGTCTGTTCTCACACTGCTAATAAAGACATATCCGAGACTGGGTAATTGTAAAGGAAACAGGTTTAATGGACTCACAGTTCTCACAATGGACTCACATGGCTGGGGAGGCCTCACAATCGTGGCAGAAGGCAAAGGAGGAACAAGGGCACGTCTTAGATGGCGGCAGATGAGAGAGCGTATGCAGGGGAACTGCCCTTTCTAAAACCATCAGATCTCCTGAGGACTCATTCACTATCAGGAGAAGAGCATGGGAAAGACCCGCCCCCATGATTCCGTTACCTCCCACTGGGCCCCCTCCCACAACACTTGGGAATTGTGGGAGCTACGGTTTAAGATGAGATTTGGGTGGGGACACAGTCAAAGCCTGTGAGTGCCTCACCTACCAAAAATGGTCCATCCATAAAGCCCATTATTGCCATATGTGCCTGCTGATGTCTACCCTAGGTCCATCCTTCTTTCAAAGGTAGGAGGGACAGGCATGGGACAGCTTGGGGACCACTGACCTGGAGTCCCCAGCATCCCCACTGCCCGGCCCAGGGAGAGCTGAGCTCTGAATGCCTTCCACTTTCACTGGCAAACACCTGCTCCCTCCAGCCAGGTCCCGATGCCATGCATTGGGGTGGGTCCTGGCCTGTGAGATCTGGGACTGTGTGAGGGACCCAGGCTCTGCCTCCCAGCCTGACAGGAGGGGGTTCCACAGAAGCCAGGCCCTGGACAGCATCGAAGGGTGATTGACAGCCTGACCCATGGCGAGGAGGTGGTCCAAGCCCGGGCCCCTACAGTGGCGCCTGGCATCTTGTGGGCTTTCAGTGCTGAGGAGAAGTTTGCATGGGAGTTGGGACTGGCCCAGTGACAGGCATGGTGGCCTCCCTCTGGGGCTCTGCTCCAGGACAGCTGGAGTTCTGAGGTTGAGGCAGGGTGTGGAGGGGATGGCAGTGTACCCAGCCCTCATCCTCCTAAGTGCTGAGGTGTGGGGAAGACTGGAACCTTCCACCCCAGCGCCTGTTTGCTGGGCGGCCTGTAGTCTGAAGTGCAGCTCTGGGTGGACCCAGCTTCCTCGTTGACAGGAAGGCCGGGCCCTCTCTGCTGCAGCTGTGCGCTCATGCTGTGCGTTCCGGAACCGTCATCGTTAGGGCATAGAAACAGCCCTGTTTCCATCCCTCATGCACGCCTGGGGGCCTTTTCCTTTTTCCTTTGTAAAATAATGAATCACTTACGAAACCCAGAACAGTACAGACTCCGTCACTCATCCGTGAACCCACACCTGAAACTGACGTGATGATGATGATGATGATGATTTGGGATTTAATATTACTAACATTTTGTTTGCCCTGTTTGCCTCAAATCTTTGTGTTCTGTGTTTCAAATTGTGGATGACTACTGAATTTGACTAAATCATTTTCTGCATCTGTGATCATCATATTTCCCCCCTTTAGTCTGTTAATGTGGAGTCCTACATTCCTAGGTTTTCTTTTTTTTTGAGACAGGGTCTCATTCTGTCACCCAGGCTGGAGTGCACTGGCGCGACCTCAGCTCGCCACAACCTCCGCCTCCACCTCCTGGGCTGAAGCGATTCCTGCTCCTCAGCCTTCAAGCAGCTGGGACTACAGGTGCACGCCACCACACCCGGCTAATTTTTGTGTTTTTTGTAGAGATGGAATTTCACTATGTTCACCCAGGCTGGTCTGGAACTCCTGAGCTCAAGCAGCCTCCCACCTCAACCTCCCAAAGTGTTGGGATTACAGGCATAAGCCACCGTGCCCAGTCTATATTTTTAATATTTCAAGGAGCCTCCATACTGTTTTCTGTAAAGGCTGTACTAATTTATATTCCCACCAACAGCGTGCAGTCCTTTTGAACACCTGTCATCTGTCATCGTTTTGATAATGGCCATTCTAACAGGAGTGAGGTGGCATCTCATTGTGGTTTTGATTGGCATCTCCCTGACGATTAATGATGTTGACTGTTGATCTTTTTTGTTTTGTTTTGTTTTGTTTTGTTTTTTGAAATGGAGTCTCGCTCTGCTGCCCAGGCTGGAGTGCAGTGGCGTGATCTCAGCTCACTGCAAGCTCCGCCTCCCGGGCCCACGTCATTCTCCTGCCTCAGCCTCCCGAGTAGCTGGGACTACAGGCGCCCGCCACCACACCCGGCTAATTTTTTGTATTTTTAGTAGAGACGGGGTTTCACCGTGTTAGCCAGGATGGTCTCGATCTCCTGACCTTGTGATCCGCCCGCCTCAGCCTCCCAAAGTGCTGGGATTACAGGCGTGAGCCACCGCGCCTGGCCGACTGTTGATCTTTTAATTAGGATTTTCCCATCTGAATTAATTGGTAACATCAGTCTACATTCTTTTATTTTTTGCATTGTCCTTGTCTGATTTTAGTAACCAGGTTCACAGAACATGAATTGGGGAGCTTTCTCCATTTCTTAGTTCTCCAGATTGGTTCGTATGAGGTGAGGGCTGGCCCTGAAGCTTTGCTGGAAGAACATCTGGGCCAGAGTCCTCGGGGAGGGAGACCCGTGTTGGCTGAATCCCTTTCTTTAGTGATGATTGGTTTATTTCATTTTTTATTTATTTTTGTTCTTTTCTGAGATGGAGTCTTGCCCTGTCCCCCAGGCTGGAGTGCAGTGGCGGGATCTCAGCTCACTGCAACCTCCACCTCCTGGGTTCACGCCATTCTCCTGCCTTAGCCTCCTGAGTAGCTGGGACTACAGGCATCCGCCACCACACCTGGCTAAGTTTTTGTATTTTTAGTAGAGATGGGGTTTCACTGTGTTAGCCAGGATGATCTTGATCTCCTGACCTTGTGGTCCGCCCACCTCGGCCTCCCAAAGTGCTGGGATTACAGGACTACAGGTGTAAGCCACTGCTCCTGGCGCTGTTTTTTTTTTTGTTTTTTTTGTTTTTTCTTTTTTTTGAGACAGTCTTGCTCTGTCGCCCAGGCTGGAGTGCAGTGGTGCAATCGCATGTCACTGCAGCCTCCGCCTCCCAGGTTCAAGCAATTCTCCTGCCTCAGCCTCCTGAGTAGCTGGGATTACAGGTGCCTGCCACCATGCCTGGCTAATTTTTGTATTTTCAGTAAAGACGGGGTTTTGCCATGTTGACCAGGCTTGTCTTGAACTCTTGACCTCAAGCAATCTGCCCACCTTGGTCTCCCAAAGTGCTGGGATGACAGGCGTGAGCCACACTCCCGGCCTGTCCTGATGATTCTTATTGCCCTAGAATCTTTCTTTCCCTGGGATGAGTACCACATCCCTTTTCACTGGTTTCCCATTCGCCTGATCAGTTTTTTCCAGCCTGTACATGGAACCAGGGAAAGTTTACCTTCACCCTTTCTGTGTCCTTTTGTTTTATGTTTTGAAAGCGATTGTTTATTCACCTGACTTATCTTTGTTAATGGGCAAGTTGAACCTATTTAGGTTTATTGCCATTCCTGATGTCTTTGGCCACATTTTTAACATCGGTTTCACACTGTTTTCTGTGCCTTTTGCCTTTAATTTTTATACTTTCCTATCTGATTGGATTTTTTTTTTTTTTTTTTGAGACAGAGTCTCGCTCTGTTGCACAGGTTGGAGTATAGTGGCTCGATCTCAGCTCACTGCAACCTCTACCCTCTGGGTTCAAGCGATTCTCATGCCTCAGCCTCCTGAGTAGTTGGGATTACAGGCATGTGCCACCACACCTGGCTAATTCTTGTATTTTCAGTAAAAATGGGGTTTCACTATGTTGGCCAGCTGGTCTCAAACTCCTGACCTCAGGTGATCTGCCTACCTCGGCGTAATTGGATTTTTTAAAATTCCCCTTTTCCTTCTTTATTAGTTTAAAAGTAATTCTGAAAATATTAATATCTTCATCTTTTTGTGGAACACTAGATCTCAGGATGCTTCGACCCCCATCCTCACTTCCAGGCTTTCATTTTATTACTTACATTATTCCAGCTTCAGCTTGCTTTTAACACTACTGTGTCTTAAATCATTCTTTGTTTTTACTTCATTTAATTTAATTAATTACGGTTTTTTGAGACAGGGTCTCACTCTGTTGCCCAGGCTAGAGTGCAGTGGTGCAGTCAGAGCTCACTGCAGCCTCAACCTCCTGGGCTCAAGCGATCCTCCTGCCTCAGCCTCCTGAGTAGTTGGGACCACAGGTGTGCACCGCCATGCCCTGGCTAATTTTTGGATTTTTTGTAGAGACAAGACTGAAGTGATCCTCTTGCTTCAGCCTCCCAAAGTGCTGGGATTACAGATGTGAGCCACCGCACCTGGCCCCCAAAGAGCACTTCTAACAGTTTCCTGCAATATATTCACCACTTCATTTCCCTTCTTGTCTTTCTTTTCTTTTCTTTTTTTTTTTTCTGAGACAGAGTCTTGCTCTGTAGCCCAGGCTGGAGTGCAGTGGCGTGATCTTGGCTCACTGCAACCTCCGCCTCCTGGGTCCTGGTTCAAGCAATTCTTCTGCCTCAGCTTCTTGAGTAGCTGGGATTACAGGAATGCACCACTATGCCCAGCTAATTTTTGCATTTTTAATAGAGACAGGGTTTCACCATGTTGGCCAGGCTGGTCTTGAAGTCCTGACCTTGTGATCTGCCCACCTTGGCCTCCCAAAGTGCTGGGATTACAGCTGTGAGCCACCGTTCCTGGCTTTTTTCTTTCTCTCTCTCTCTTTCCTTTTTTCTTTCTTTCTTCCTTTCTTTCCGCGTGTGACGGCACTGGCTGAGCTGTCTGTGGCTTGCTTTCTCACTCACGACCTCTCCAGGTTGGTGGATGTGGCTGACCCATTTTTTAGGGTGCGCCGTTCCCTGGTCCTCTCCTGATGGACGCGACAGGCATGCATAGGCCGTGGCCGGCAGCTATGCTCTCGCCTCTGTGCTCCTTGTGGGCCCTGCGAGTGTTTCCGTCACCTTGGTTCCCAGGATTGGGACTCCAATGCCTCCCTTCACCCGCAGGAGATACCCGCGCCCTGACCGGCCTGCCCCAGCCAACTGCGCCCATTCCTCCTGTTGGGCTGTGCTGTTCCTGCTGAGTGCCCTTCCCCCTGCCCTCTTCTAGAACTGCCCCAGCCAGCTGCGCCCGTTCCTCCTGCCGGGCTGTGCTGTCCCTGCCTGAGTGCCCTTCCCTTCTGCCCTCTTCTAGGACAACATGGGTTTTCCTTTTCCACCAGACCTGCTCCTCCATCCACACAGGTCTGGGTAGAATGGGCTGGATCTTCATCATTCCCTGGGCCCCCACTCACGTGGCCCCAGGTTGGCAGGTGGGAGCGTTCAGCGCTGACCTGGCCCGAGTCTGATCCTGAAACTCCAGTTGCAAAGCCTGGTCACTTGTTTTCCGGGAGAGGCCTGTCTACCCTCTGGGTTCCGGTAAAATTGAGAAGGGCAGCAAATGTTGAAAACAAGATGGAATTAGTCTCCGAAGAGCCCAGTGAATCCTTTAACTGCATAAAAAGCTCCTCTGCCCATCTGCAGACATGTGTGTCCTTCAAGCCAGTGTCCAGAATGGGCAAAAAGGAGCAGGACTTTTAGCTGTGCCAGATCCATGAGCAGGTAGCGGACCTGCTTAGCTGCCAGAAACAGGAGAAACAGTCTCAGGCCAGTTTCTTCCCTCCCCAGCTGTGCGCACGCGAGAGAGGTCAACATTGTTTGTGGACAAAAGTGAAGTGACGTCAGAGAGAGCAGGAAACACTTGGGGCACCGGGGAGAATCTGGGACGCAGCCTGGGCTTCCTCCCCCAGCCTCGCTTGGCTACCCAGTTGGGGAGAGAATAGGGAGGAAAACGGCCTCAGCCCTTCCCAGATGCCCTCACACACTGACTGCCTTAAGGTCCTGGTGGCATTTCCTGTGGGCTTGGCACCTTTAGAAGGACCCCAGGCTGGGTCCACACACCTGGGGCTGCGCGCGGTGGTCACTCTGACAGCTGTCCAGCCTTGAGCCTGGCTCTGCCCCGGGCCTGGGGGCAGGCACTGGGCTTGCACCATGCCCTGTGGCCAGCAGAGTGGCAGCCGCCTGGCTCGCCCCTTAGAATCCCCCCAGTAAAGGACACAGGTGACAAGAAGTATCCTGGCCAGCCACGGGCCAGGCAGCAGGGCCAGGCAGCAGGACACCCCAGGCAGTCCCAAGTCAGATCTGCATGATTTGATCTGTTTGCAAAACGATCCTTCCTGCTCACCACTCGGGCACATGGCTATTTGTGTCCGCCAGCTGCAATTATGGAGGCTTATGGATGAATGTGTCCTCTGAGCTGCTAGGGACCCAGGGCGTCTGAGGCAGCCTGTCCAGTGGCTTAATGCTAAGCTGGTGCCTGGACCAGATGAGGAACCTGTGAGAAAGACGTGTGGTTGGCATTTTAAACGAGGAATTACCCGGGGACCTCAGCACAGCCTCGCCGTATCCACCCCTCAGACGTTCCAAGAGGCCGGCTGAGGACACTAGAAGGCAGTGTCAAGTCACACCAGGCAGACACATCCTGCGGCTGGTGCCAGAGATGCAGGAGAAAGGGTTTGGGAGCTCTGAGCTTGGAAGCCAGCCTGACGGCGGAGGCTGCCTCCAAGGGAGGAGGCAGCCCCGATGTTGCTGTCATCCCCTGAAAAGGGAGCACTGAGTCAGGAGGCCGCAGGCCTGGGAGGGAAGGGCGCCACCCCACCCCTACCTGCATCGGGCTGGCCAGGGAGGGGCCTGAGCTACTTCTGCTTTTGTTACTCAGAGTAACAACGAACCCCATGGATACAGAATCAGGGCCAGGCATGGTGGCTCATGCCTATAATCCCAGCACTTTAGGAATCCAAAGCAAGAGGATTGCTTAAGATTAGGAGTTCAAGAGCAGCCTGGGCAACATAGTAAGACCCCGTGTGTTTAAAAAAAAAAAAAAAAAAGTTTTTTAATAATTAGCCAGGGATGGCAGTGCATGCCTATAGTCCCAGCTGCTGGGAGGCCTCCTGGATTCAAGCGATTCTCCTGCCTCAGCATTCCGAGTAGCTGGGATTACAGGTGCCCACCACCACGCCCAGCTAATGTTTATATTTTTAGTAGAGACGGGGTTTCACCATGTTGGCCAGGCTGGTCTCGAACTCCTGACCTCGGGTGATCCACCCACCTTGGCCTTCCAAAGTGCTGGGATTACAGGCGTGAGCCACCATGCCTGGCCTCAATTTGGGTTTCTAACGATTGCCTCTGAGTCTTCAAATCACATGCTTTGCCTGCTACCCTGTGATTCATGGACTTTACATGTGATTTTCTGACTTCCTGCTTTAATAAAGTAGCATTTCATTTTGCCTTGTGCACCTCCCAAAATAGCTCTATTATTGTTTATTTCCTTTGATAATTACCTTGTTAACTTAAATAATATAATGGAACTGACATTTGTTGTTCTAAAAACTTCGGACCAGCCCCCACCCCCATGCACGCATACAGGCGCACACACACATATTGGCACACATTCTGTCTCAGCATTCATAGCCACTTTATGATCTCATTCCAAAAGAGAAGACATGCAAGGCATTTATTTACCAAGGTTTTTAACCAATGGCTGTGGCATCCGGCTGTCTCCCTGCTAGTCTTGTAGGGGCCTCTGGCTGTCAGGTGCCGTGGGCAGATGCCAGGCGGGTACATGTATTGTTAAATGTCCCTACCCAGCAGTGTCAGGTTGACGGTTGCAGTTGTTGTCACCGTCCCGTGAAAACGCGCGTCCTTACTTAGAGAGAGTGGTAGATGCGGCCTCCTGGGTGTCAGGTCCCCGCATAACTCTTAGTCTTTCTGTCTTGGTAGCCAGGAGCCCATCTCGCTGGCCGGCTGCGCCATGGCTGATCTGGTTCCAGACTTGCAGCCCATTCTTTTCTGGATGTCTAATTCCATCGAGCTTCTGTACTTTATCCAGCAGAAATGCCCACTCTACATGCAGAGCATGGAGGAGCAGCTGGACGTCACAGGTACGGCTGGCGCTGCCCTCTATTCCCCCCGCCGGCGCCCCAGGCAGGGGAGTGTGGCACCTCCTCGCCATCCTCAGGATCGAGTTGGCCATGATAGCAGGGATGGATTCATGCCGGGGCTTCCTCAGCCCCTGGGCTGCCATGTGTCAGCTGCTCGGGGACGGCCTGTGAGGCTGGTGCTGGTGGCATGGGCCAGCCTGGCACCTCCCCCCACAGCGCCTTGGCGCTCAGTCTGTCCCCATCATCCCATGTGCTCCGTGCAGTGGCGTCCCCTTGACCACAACCCCACTCTTCTGCTTGCAGGAGGGCCCGGGGGGTTACACAGGTCACTCAGTAAGGGAGATAGATGCCACCGTCCACCATGAACCAAATGTAAGGGGCAGTAGAGAGAGCGTCGGCCATGAGACCGCCCCCCGTTCTGAGATGCACCATTGTTCCAGAAGGACAGATGTTGCCAGTCATCGTTGTGAAATTATAGATCATGCCGGTTTCATAGATTAAGATGTGGGAAATACACATTTCAGGATTTCTTTTTCTTTTTTTGAGACGGAGTCTCGCTCTGTCGCCCAGGCTGGAATGCAATGGTGGGATCTTGGTTCACTGCAAGCTCCTCCTCCCAGGTTCAAACGATTCTCGTGCCTCAGCCTCCTGAGTACCTGGGATTACAGGAGCATGCCACCTCTCCCGGCTAGTTTTTGTATTTTTGGTAGAGATGGGGTTTCACCATGTTGGCCAGGCTGGTCTCGAACTCCTGACCTCAAGTGATCCGCCCACCTCAGTCTCCCAAAGTGCTGGGATTATAGGCGTGAGTCACCACGCCTGGCCAACATTTCAGGATTTCTGAAATACAGTAGGAAGTGTTCTGAAAATACTAAGGGAGAGGGTTTCCAACGGGGCAGTCTCGGGGGCTTCGTGAGGAAGGTGGTGTGGGGCCGGGCCCGGAAGCCGGGGTAGGATTTCGGCTGGTGTGTCTGCTGAGAACTGTGTGGGGCCTGGAATGGAGCCAGGTGGGGCAGCAGGACAGTGACAAGCGGGCCCAGGGGACTGGGGACCAGAGCCTCTCGTGGGCAGCCTTGGTTCTGCCCCCCTACGGCCTTGCTGTCCATCTACTGCCCTCACATCTGTGGGGTGGGCTGTCAGGAGGGCCCAGGGCCGGAGGGTCCTGAGTGGCCGTGGCGCTGTGGCCCTGCCTCTGGAGGACCCAGGTCAGTGAGTGGCGCATTCCGAGCTGCCCTGAGCTGTGTCTCCAAGCTGCTAGGGAGGCCCAGGCCCGGTGTGCAGGGACGGGCGCTCCCACGGGCTCAGTCTACCAGACGCTGCGGGGTCTCTGTGTACTCAGCTGTGTCCCCGTCCCTGGGAGGGGTCTGTGGCTGTGACTGCATATGAGACAACCCGGAGGACACAAGGCTAGGCAAGGTCCTGGCCGGGCTGTGTTGGGGGCGCTGGGACCTTGCTGTGCCCCCCACGCCTTAGGGGCAGTTTTCCTGAGAGGAGGGGCTCTCGGTGGTGAGAGGGAGGCGCCAGGGCATCTGCGCAGTGACCCTGTGGTGGGACAGGCTCCCACAATGCGTCAGGGCCCAGTCAGCCTCCAGGCGGGGGCCGGGCTGCAGAGACCAGGCTGGATTGAGGCTGCATGGAGGAGGCCGGGCCGGCCCTGGCCATGAGGTTGTGGGGTGGGGCCCCCGTTCCAGGGGGAGGCACAGCTGGCTGGGATCTGTCTGAGTTCCTTCCTGCCGGCCACGATTCCTTCCCACTGTTTCCTTCTCCCCTCCTTCACGGGGAAGGGGACATGGGGTCCTGCCAGGGGCTTCCGGGTCTGGGAGTTGGGGCTGCCTTGAATATGTGGGGGTAGTGTCAACCCCTCCTGGCCTCAGTGGGCATCCAGGCCTCTGGCCTGTGCCCTTGCCCCCTACGTGACATGGTAGCCCCTGCCTGTCCACAGGGCCTGGGTCTAAGCTAGACCTTTCCTCTGGCTTTTTCCCGGAAAGTGACGTAAACGACTGTGTGTCTCTAAGTCTCCACGCAAGTTTCTCACATCCATCTGCCTGGCTGCAGTCCTCCCCTGGGGCTCCTGGGCTCCCGGGACTCCAGTGCCTGTCGCCTCTCCCTGCAGACCTGACTCTGCCATCCTCTAGGGCTGGAGTTGCAGCCAGCAGGTGGCCCTGGGATGGAGGCAACTCCGGGGTTGCGGCTGGCCAAGGGCGACCCTCGCTGACGTTGCAGTGCACTTGGTCCTTCCGTGTGACGGGGGACGGGGCCAGCTTAGGGGCCTCTTTTGTTCCGGCCCCCACAGAAAGAGTCAGTTCTCGGACCTGTGACTTTTGAGCTCCGTGTTCCCGGCGAGTCCCCGGCTGACTTTCCACGTGGCTTCGTGGCTGCCTGGGTCTGGTGGCTGCAGGCAGCTGGGTCCCATGTGGTCCCCGTGTTGGCTGCTCTTCATGGGAAAAATTGCTCCAGGCTGATGGAGCTGCTGCCTTTGGTCTTGGGAGGAAGTTATTTTTGGTCAGGGGCCTGGGTAGTGTTTGGCCCGGCGATGGGAGTCGGGGCCCAGGGACGCCCGCAGGCTCCTGGTGTCGAGGGCCAGGCAGGCGCCAGGGAATGGAGTGGGAGATAGCCCCCAGTAGGGGCCGGAGGGTCAGAGCCCCGTCAGCCTCCTGACTCTCTGCAGGAAATGTCTGTGGGAAGAATTCGGAGAGCAGGGCTGTCCCGTCCTGAGAGCGAGTCACATGGCCATTGTCATTCCCCAAACACTGTTTTGTCCAAAGCTCTGATCCAGGCCCCTCCCGCGCCACCTCACACCATCGTGTGTGTCTCGGATTCTCTTCATGGCTGAGGCTCAGCGCCTTCTTCTTTAGGGACAGGGCCGGCTTCCTCAGGGGTCGTGGAGTTTCGGGGCAGGGCAGGGGCAGCCGGCTGGTGTGTCCTCTTAATGGCTTGTGGGCGTCGGAAATCCTCAGAAATCCCACCAGCCCTGGTACCACGGGGAAACGCGTCTCGGGGGATTTAGAAATGGAGTCTAAGGGCCAGGCTCACACCTGTCATGCCCGCACTTTGGGAGGCCGAGGTGGGCAGATCACTTGAGGTCAGGAGTTCGAGACCAGCCTGGTCAACATGGTGAAACCCTGTCTCTACTAAAAATACAGAAATTAGCAGGGCATGGTGGCATGCTCCTGTAGTCCCAGCTACTTGGGAGGCTGAGTGGGGAGAATCGCTTGAACTTGGAAAGCAGAGGCTGCAGTGAGCTGGGATTGTGCCCTTGCACTCCAGCCTGGGCGACACAGTGAGACTCTGTCTCAAAAAAAAAAAAAAAGAAAAGAAAAGAAAAAAGAAAGAAATGGAGTCTCACGGCCAAGTGCAGGGGCACACACTTGTAATCCCAGCACTTTGGGAGGCCAAGGCGGGTGGATTGCCTGAGCCCAGGAGTTCCAGACCAGCCTGGGCAACACAGTGAGATCCCATCTCTACCAAAAATTAAATAAAAGAAGAAATGGAGTCTCAGGCCCTTGGGGGGTGGCTGGAGGCTGCTCTGTGGTTTCGTTCAGCACAGCCCCTGCCACCTTCTCCTCCTCCTGTCACTCCCACGCCCCGTTTCCCTCTTCCCGCTGGCACCCTGCCCTTGCCCAGGAAGTGATGTGGGGCTGGGTTCTCAGAGCTGGCAGCCTGAGGCAGTCGGGGTCAGGGCACCAGGACAGGTGGACGGGTCAGAGCTCAGCCTCCTGACCCGCCTGCCGTGGCTGTGAATATCCTTGGCTGGTACTCGCTGTGGATGCCCTCGGGCCGCCTTGTGTGTCTCCACAGGCCTGGAGGCTTCTGGGCGCAGTGTTGAGGTTGGCAGAGCCTGAGAGCCCCTCACTGCCCTGGACCCCGGGGTCCCTCCAGCTGCCCTGCCTGGGTGCCAGATGTGACCCTGTGGGGCAGGCACTGGGGGATCTCACAGGTTCTTGGGGAGCAGGCTTGGTGGGTGGGGGCCAGGCAGCCCCAGGCCCCTGAAGGAGGAGCACCAGGAGCAGAGGAGCGAAAGTGACAGGGGCTTGTCCAGGGACTCGGCGCAGCATTGTCCTGGCCATGAGTGGGCGGCCTCCCGTGCACTCTGCGTGGCAGAGGGGCGGCTGGGGGCCTGTGCTCCTGGGAGGCCCGCATCGGGGTGAGTGTTGGCCTGGCTCACCAGGCACCACCCACGCAGCCCTGTCAGGTGCCCCGACAGGCAGCTCCCACGGTGCAGCCCCTCTGCCCTTCCTGGAGGAAGACCCCACAGGAGGGAGAGGAGGGGAGCTGTGGCCACCTACCTGGCTGCACTAGGAACACTGCTGTGGTCGCCGCCCACAGTCCCGGGAGAGAATGAACGCGCCTAAAGGCGGGACAGCAGGGTCCTGGCCCCTTCCCCAGGTGCTGATGGGACCCCCAGTCACTGAGACCACCACGTGCCCCCTCACATTCTGGAAGCCCCCAGGAAGGCTCCACCCTGTCGGGAGCCTCTCACCTTCACAAGAGCCCCCACCCAGAGGGCAGGAACCACTCCGTGGGCAGCTGCCCCCAGCCTCAGCTCCAGCCGCCCCCGCTGACACCCGGGAGTGGGGGTGAAATAGGTGATTTGGGCTTTTTCCTCCCGAAAGACTGTTATGATTCCACGGAGTGGCAGCCACTCGGGGGCTGCTGCCAGAGTCCTGTGACCCATGTCGCGGGTGAGAGGCGACCTGTGGGGAGGGAGTTAGGACCTGCTATGTTGGGTGCAGTTGGTTGTAACAGAAAACTTATCAGAACGTGGGAGTGAATGAGCACTTAGGCAGGGCTGGGCATTGAGACGTTGGGTGTCTGGGCCCCTCCTGCCCCCTCCCCAGCATTCCCCTCCCCTGGTAAGGGCAGCGGCAGGTTTGCTGCACTCGTCCCAGCCAGGGCCCAGAGTCCCTTGGCCGGTTTATGGCATCCGGACCCCAGATGGGCGCGTTGGGCAGTGCCCGTGGCAGGGACAGAGCTGGCGGCTGGCTGAGTTGCTGCGTTCCTGAGTGCTGTGCCCATTGTGACCATCTGTGTGGCTGTCTCCCCGCAGGCTCTAAGGAGTCGCTGTTCTCCTGCACGCTGACGGCCAGCGAGGAGGCCATGGCGGTGCTGGAGGAGGTGGTGCTGTACGCCTTCCAGCAGTGCGTCTACTACGTCTCCAAGGTGCACGGACGGGCACTGCTTCTGCACTCAGGCAGCTCCTGGGATGAAGTGGGACTCAAGCTTGTGCCTGTGGCTCTCCTAGGAGCCTTCTGGGGGGCTGAGGGAGGGGACCGTGACAAGCTCCACTTCAGCAGGGAGCAGTGGCTGCAGGTTCTGCAAAGGCCCAGCTGCACCCCCCACGCTCCCTCCTCCTCGGGTCGCACAGAAACCCTAGAACCATCCCAGCTCCCTCTTCCCCTCACCTTAGAACACCCCCTCCCTGCCATTGTTTCAAGGGTCAAGGATGAGGTGGGGGAAGCTCCAGCATGGGGCGCAAGGGATGTGACCCTGTTGTCACCCTGGACCCACGGGTGCCAGAGGTGCTGCCGGCGGTCCCCCTGTGACCCTGGTCAGCTTGGGGTGCATCGGGGGTGTGGTGAGCCACTTTCGGGGGAGTGGTGGCTCTCCCGTCTTTACCCATGGGTGTCTCCAGCCCCTTTGTCGGAGCCCATCCCCCCAGGCGCCACCTCTGTGCGCCTTCTGAGTTCATCTGTGCCTCCGACAGGAGCAGATACCCCTGCACCCCACCTCTGCTCCCAGCAGCCCCGGGAGGCAGCTCCTGTGTCCCCACACCCCACACTGGACATTTGCAAAGCCGTGGCCTGTCCAGTAGGAAGCCGCCAAGGCCGGGTCCCTGCGAGCAGTGCATGGGTGGGGAGCTCGCTGGGTCAGGACCCCTGTCGGCCACCAGCACTCCTGGAAATGCTGGTTGCTGTTCTTCTCTCGCCCCCGCCAGTCCCTGTACATCTGCCTCCCAGCACTCCTGGAGTGCCCACCATTCCAGACGGAGCGCCGTGAGAGCTGGTGTTCGGCCCCCGAACTGCCCGAGGAGCTGCGCCGCGTGGTGTCCGTGTACCAGGCAGCCCTGGACCTCCTGCGGCAGCTGCAGGTGCACCCCGAGGTGGCCTCGCAGATGCTTGCCTACCTCTTCTTCTTCTCCGGGACACTGCTCCTCAACCAGCTCCTCGACAGGGGTGAGGGCCTCATGCGGGGTTGAGGGGTCGGGGGCTCACATTCCTGGACATGACGGCTGCTGGCGCCTCCCACGCCAGCTCCTGGGGTCGGCTCTGCCCTTGTCGGGCTCCTGCTCCCTGAGCATCTGGTGTCCCTGAGGGGTGGGAGGCCAGAGTGAGGGGGGGCACAGATTGCCACAGCGCATCCCTTAGGAGCCAAGGTCCCATCAGGGTTTCAGAGAAGCCACGGCCGAGAGGTCTGCATGGGGAGACCCAGGTGGTGGCAGGCCCCCGGCACATGTGTGTGGGGGTGGGAGAAGGTCCCAGCCAGGGGCTGCTCTGTGGAGTCAGTGGCTGTCACAGCCCACCCTGCCCTGCTACGTTCACCTCCCACCGCACCCCCGCTCCAGAGAGGGGTTGGAGGCTGGTCAGTTGCCTTGGAAGCCGAGGGAAGGTCTCCTGCCTGTCATCGAGCTGCGATGTCCTCAGTGGCCCAGAGCCGGGAAGGGGAGGCTCTGGGGACAGACCCATGTCTGTGTCCCCCGGGGAGGGCAGCCCAGGCATCACCCTCCCTCCCTCCCTCCCTCCACAGGCCCCTCCTTGAGCTGCTTCCACTGGCCCAGAGGTGTCCAGGCCTGCGCCCGCCTGCAGCAGCTCCTGGAGTGGATGCGGAGCGCCGGCTTCGGGGCGGCTGGAGAGCACTTCTTCCGGAAGCTCTCCTGCACCCTCAACCTGCTGGCCACGCCCAGGGCCCAGCTCATCCAGGTAGGGGGGCGCATGGGAGGCGGGGAGGGCGGGGCCACATGGTGGGTCCCTGCCTCTCGAACCAAGCCTAGGGGCCGGGCCTGGGCTTCTGGGCTGGAAAGCTCAAAGCTCCCGTAGGTAATTAGCGAAGTTGCTTCCATTCCATGGCTGTTTCCACCTGCGGTAGGCAGGATAATGGCCCAAAAGATGTCTGAGACCCGTGACCGTGTTACCCCACATGGCAAAGAAGCCTCTGTACGTGTGACTACGATTAAGGACCTTGAGATTCGGAGATGACCTGGGTATCTGGGTGGCCCAGTCCACTCAGATGAGTCCAAAAAGGTGGATCGGAGAGAAATGGAAGAAGAGGGGATATGGCTCTGAGGCTGGAGGAGGGGCCAGGAGCCAAGGAGTATGGTGGCCTCTAGAAGCTGGAGTGGCCCCAGCTGACAGCCAGTCTGGAAACAGGACCCCAGTCCTACAATAGCAGGAACTGAATTCTGGCAGCAACCAGGAGAGCAGGGAGATGGATCCTCCCCCAGGACCTTCATCTTGCTGTCAGTCCTGTGAGACCTGGCTGAGCCGCGGAGTCACAGAGCTGTGAGAGTGTGCACTTGTGTGGCCGTGACTGCCAGGCGTGTGGGCATTTGTCACAACGGCAACAGGAAACCGACATGCCCCTCCCCACCTCCCTCGCCGCTCACCACCCCCCTCCCAACACAGTCGGCCGCTCACCACCCTCCTTCCCAACACAGTCGGCCGCTCACCACCCTCCTTCCCAACACAGTCGGCCGCTCACCACCCTCCTTCCCAACACAGTCGGCCGCTCACCACCCCCCTTCCCAACACAGTCGGCCGCTCACCACCCTCCTTCCCAACACAGTCGGCCGCTCACCACCCCCCTTCCCAACACAGTCGGCCGCTCACCACCCTCCTTCCCAACACAGTCGGCCGCTCACCACCCTCCTTCCCAACACAGATGGCCTCTCACCACCCTCCTTCCCAACATAGTTGTCACAGGTAATTAATGGAAATAGCCAATGGTTTCCTCTCCTGCCTGGAAAATGCTGAACATGCTTTAGGGCGATAGTGAGAGTGGCCACAGGGCGAATCGCTTGAACTGGGGAGGCGGAGGTTGCAGTGAGCCGAGATCATACCACTGCACTCCGGCTTGAGCAACAAAGTGAGGCCCTGTCTCAAATAAAAAAAAAAAAGTGAAGCGTTTTTATTTACTATAGAAAATTCGGAAAATGAGGCTGTCTGGATCCTGCGTGTGGCAGATTGAACACATGAATTTAGTTTGCTTCTATGGTATCACTAAACAGAAGTAAAGCAATGCTTTTTAATGCCACAAACCCACGGGGACAAAGTCATAGAGGAGGCAAAAGCGGTGCTCTTTTGGAAGGCAGAAAGCAGATGGGTGAACAGCAACTGCCTTAGCAGATTGAAGAAAGCTGACTCGGCCAGGCACGGTGGCTCATGCCTGTCCTCCCAGGGCTTTGGGAGGCTGAGGTGAGAAGATCACTTGAGGCCACTGGTTTCAGACCAGCCTGGGCAACACAGTGAGATCCCATCTCTACAAAAAAGAAAAAAGCAATCTGACTCCTGAGAAGTAACCCAATTTCTAGGAAGCCACCAAAAGGCTCAGGAATTGGTGGCACCAGGTACCTATGGATACTGATGTCAAGATGGTGCTAAAACAGAAGAACAGTTGATAGACATTGTGGCCAGCACTGAGGGTAGAAGGGAGCAACTGAGCCTGCAGTTCCACTAAGGACAGCTCGCACAATCGGAAAGAAACACAAAGTCATCTGTTGAAAGGCGTGAGCGAGCTCCTGCAGGATGAGGAGAGGGTGAGCCTCCACAAAGAGCTGACCTGAAGTTCCTGTTGCTTTTCCCTGGAGACATTTGCTGTCCTGGGAGCAGGTGACAGTGTGAGGCTGAGAATCTAGGCTTTGTCCAGGCAGGGGCCACTGGTGGGGAAACAGAAACCGGAATAGCACAGCACTGGCCGTCTCACAGGCGAGAGGCAAGCTCAGAGACATCAGGGGCCTGAAATGCATCGCCGGCTTTTCCCTAAGACACTTGCCAGCATTCTGAATCTCCAGGGAGTGCGATGGAGAGAGACTTTAAAACGGAACCAAAAGCGTTGAAAAAAAGAGTGGAATCTGTGGTGGCTTCACAGTGCAGAGGAGACAGAGATGACGAGTCCAGGACCCCCTGGGAAATAAACACCAGGCCCCCGGTGGAAACACTGGAGTGAGAGGCAGGCATGGGGCAAACACCTGTAGTCCCAGCTACTTGGGAGGTTGAGGCAGGAGGATCATTTGAGTCCAGGAATTAAAGTCTTCAGTGAGCTATGATCACACTACTGCACTCCAGCCTGGGCAACAGAGGAAGACCCCAACTATAAAAGAAAGAAAGAAAGAAAGAAAGAAAGAAAGAGAGAGAGAGAGAGAGAAGAAAAGAACCTTGGGGTGAGGATCAAGCAGAGGCCGTCTGAGCCTCACCAAAAGCTTGCCAACCTCAACTCAGCATTAAGTTCATCAGCAACAATGAAGATACAAAATATCCAAACCTGTAGGCTGCAGTTAAAGCAGTCTTAAGAGGAAAAGTTAAAGCCTTGTATGTATATATTAGACTACAAGGAAGGCCAAAAATGAATAATCATGAGGCAAGAAAGAGAACGACAAATCAAACCCAAAGAAAGCAGAGGAAATGACGGATGAGAGCTAAAAATCAGTGAACTAGGAAGCAAACATGATTGAGATAAGCAATAAAGCCAGGAGTTGGTTCTTTGAAAAGTTGAATAAGAGGCCAGGCGCAGCGGCTTACACCTGTAATCCCAGCACTTTGGGAAGCTGAGGCAGGTGGATCATTTGAGGTCAGGAGTTTGAGACCAGACTGGCCAACATGGCAAAACCCCGTCTCTACTAAAAATACAAAAATTAGCGGGGTGTGGTGGTGTGTGCCTGTAATCTCAGCTACTTGGGAGGCTGAGGCAAGGGAATCCCTTGAACCTGGGAGGTGGAGGCTGCAGTGAGCTGGGATCATGCCACTGCACTCCATCCTGGGTGATAGAGCAAGACTTCGTCTCAATAAATAAATAAATAAATAAATAAATAAATAAAATAAAAATAGAAAGTTGAATAAGGGAGAAAACACAATTGCTAGTATCAGAAAAAGGAGGCCATCACTCAGCTCCTGCATTAAAAATTAAAAATTAGTAAGAGGAGATCATAACCAACTTTTTGCTGATAAATTTGACAACTTAGATAAAATGGACAAATAAGAAAAAGACTACTTATTGAAACTGATTCAACAGGAAGTTAAAAATCTGAATGGTCCTGCATGCATTAGAGAAACTGAAAGGCCAGGTGCGGTAGCTCCCACCTGTAATCCCAGCACTTTGGGAGGCTGAGGCAGGAGGACCCCTTGAGCCCATGAGTTCAAGACCAGCCTGGGCAACATGGTGGAACCCCCATCTCTACAAAAAATACACACAGAAAAAGTAGCCAGGCATGATGATGCATACCTGTGGTTTCAGCTACTTAGAAGGCTGAGGCAGGAGGATTCCTCGAGCCCATGAGATTGAGGCTTCAGTGAGCGATGGTTGTGCCACTGCACTCCAGCCTGGACGTCAGAAATGACACCTTGTCTCAAAAAAAAAGAAATTAAATTGATTAACACTCTCCCATGAAGAAGATTCAAGGCCCAGATGGTTTCACTGGTGAATTATTTTAAACATTAAAGAAGAAATAGGCCGGGCGTGGTGGCTTACGCCTGTAATCCCAGCATTTTGGGAGGTCGAGGCAGGCGGATCACGAGGTCAGGAAATCGAGACCATCCTGGCTAACATGGTGAAACCTCATCTCTACTAAAATACCAAAAAATTAGCCGGGCGTGGTGGCGGGCGCCTGTAGTCCCAGCTACTCAGGAGGCTGAGGCAGGAGAATGACGCGGAGCTTGCAGTGAGCCGAGATCACCCCACTGCACTCCAGCCTGGGCGATAGAGCCAGACTCAGTCTCCAAAAAAAAAGAAGAAATAATACCATTAGTACTCAAATTCTTACCAGAAAGTAGAAAAAGAGGAAACCCTATCTCACTTTAAAACACCAGTAATACCTTGATGCCAAAACCCGAAAAGGGGCTATAAGAAAGAATTACGCATGAAAGATGGACAATTTCATTCGTCATCAGAGAAACGCAGCCCAAACTCTCCACGTTTCAGGCTGGTCCGAGTGCATTGGTGTTTAGAACTAATTCATCACAACCAGTTACAGATTTTCTTGTTTCTTCTCCACTCCCATTGCTTCACTTGACTAACCTTAAAAAACAAAAGCAAAAACTAACCTCAGCAGATTTTTTTACTTTTTTTTTTTTTTTTTTTTTTGAGACGGAGTCTCGCTCTGTCATCCAGGCTGGATGGAGTGCAGTGGTGTGATCTCAGCTCACTGCAACCTCCACCTCCTGGGTTCAAGCGATTCTCCTGCCTTGGTCTCTTGAGTAGCTGGGATTACAGGCACGCATCACCACACTCAGCTAATTTTTGTATTTTTAGTAGAGACAGAGTCTCACCATGTTGACCAGGCTGTTCTCGAACTCCCGACCTCAGGTGATCCGCCCACCTCGGATTCCCAAAGTGCTGGGATTATAGGTGTGAGCCACCGCGCCCGGCCTAATCTCAGCATTTTAAACACCGAACACATCAGAATGGTTGAAAGGAAGAAAGCCAGGCACTGGTGAGGAGATGCAGTGGTTTGAACCCTCAGGTGTTCCTGGCGAGGTTGTAAATGAGGCTCGCCACTTTGGAAAGCCGTCTGGCAGCGTCGGCCGAAGCTGACCGAGTGCGTGTGCTCTGATTGAGCAATTCCCCGGATGGAGATGCTTCCGTGGGTCCCTCGCCACGGCCCGCTTAGGGATGCTTCCAGTGGCACCACTCATAACCGCCCCAGACTGGGAAAAACCCATCTTCTATTTATCAACAACATGATGGATGAATAAAGCAGTCTCTTCAGCACAGTGAAATACGGCAGAGCAACGTGACTGAGTAAACTGGTTCGGAGGAGCCACAGACACACCTGAGCGGTCGGCTGGGCACTTAGGGAGGCCAAGGCAGGAGGATCACTTGAGCTCAGGAGCTCCAGACCAGCCTGGGTGACATAGCAAGACCACCCCCACATCGTCTTTCCAAACATACCTTTTTTTAAATTAGCCAGGCCTGGTGGTGTGCACCTGTGGCTCCCAGCTACTCGGGAGGCTGAGGCAGGAGAATCGTTTAGGCACGGGAGGTCTGCAGTGAGCTGTGATCATGCCACTGCACTCCAGCCTGGGTGACAGAGTAAGACCCTGCCATAAATTTAAATAATAAAAGAAAATAAAATAAATAAGGCCAGGCGTGGTGGCTGACGCCTGTAATCCTAGCAGTTTGGGAGGCCGAGGTGGGTGGATCACCTGAGGTCAGGAGTTCGAGACCAGCCTGGCCACCACAGTGAAACCCCATCTCTACTAAAAATAGAAAAATTAGCCAGGTGTGGTGTAAAATTATAAAAATTAGGCAACTACTCAGGAGGCTGAGACACATGAATCACTGGAGCCCGGGAGATGGAGCTTGCGGTGAGCCAAGATCACACCACTGCACCCCAGCCTGGGCGACAGAGCAAGACCCCGTCTCTAAATAGATAAATAAATAAGATAAGATATAAAATACTCCTGAAAGGGCAGGTGGAGCTGAAGGAGTCGGGTGCGAGGAGCGTGTCTGCAGGGCTGGAGGTGCGGCAGGACCTGCCATGGTGCCCGGACGGGCCTGGGGGCTCCTGAGCTGCCCCGGCCCACATTCTGGTTCTTGTTCTTGGGACTGGGTACACAGGCGTGTTCCTCGGGGGAAGCTGGTTGGGCTGTGTGTGTCAGATGTGTGGTTTTCTGTGTGCACGGAAAGGAGGCAGCAGCGATTCTCAGGATCTCTGCCTCTCCCTGCTCAGCTGGGCGGGGATATTTCTAGAACGTTGAAAACAGGAGTTCTCCTGGCTGGGGAAACTAGGCCGAGCTGAGGGCAGGAACCTCGTGCTGGAAAGGGGGCCCCAGCCTCTCACCCAGCTCGGCAGCCCGGCCCGAGCGCCCCTGCGGGAGATGGTCAGGCCCGAGTCTGCAGGGACAGCCCAGGGAGGTGGGGGACAGCGCCAAGGGTCTTCCAGAAGCAGCCGGGCCTCCCCACGCTGAGGCCGGGAAGCGCCCGCCCTGCGCCCCGCATCCTAAGTAGAGCGTCTAAAGGAGACGCGGAGAGACAGCCGCGTTGGAAGGAGCAGACCAGGGCCGTGGGCTGCTTCTTGTAAAGGGCCAAGCCGTGAGGACTTCGGGCTCTGCGGCCGCTTTTGTCTCGGTCTCATCTCCTTCTTTGTTTTGTTCTTCTCAAACGCTTTAAAAACGTGAAAACCATTTCTAGCTTGGGGGCCCTGTAAAAATAGGCCTTGCTGGCCCTAGTTTGATGACTCCTGAAACAGACAATTCAGGGAGAAGCTTGGTGAAAAAGTCACTTATAGCCTCATAAAAATAAGACAAGATATATAGTATCCATAAAATAATAATAAGATTCTATCCATGAGAGAATAAGAGGAGTCTTGGAAAATAAAACTGTGGAAGCAGAAATAAAAAGCTGTGCAGCGGGTGGGAAGAAAACTCCCCGGACCACTAGAGTGGAGAGTGAGGAGTGGGCAGAGAGAGAGGGCGGAGGGATGCGGGGGTAGGCAGGGGAGTAAGAAGGGAGAAAAAGAGAGGGAGGAGAGCAGGAGAAGGGAGGAAGAAAGGGAGAGGGAGGAGGAGGGGAGAGAGACAGGGAGGAATGAGAGGAGAGGGAGGAGGGAGGGGAGAGAGACAGGGAAGGACAGGGAGAAGGAGAGGCAGGAGGGAGGGGAGAGAGACGCAGGGAGGGAGAGAAAGGAGCGGGAGGAAGGAGGGGAGAGAGAGACAGGGAGGGAAAGGAAAGGGAGGGGACAGAGAAGGAGAGGGAGGAGGAAGGAGAGAGAGACGGAGTGGGGGAGAAGGAGAGGGAGGAAGGAGGGAAGAGAGAGAGGAGAGGAAGGAGGAGGGGAGAGAGAGACAGAGGCAGGGGGAGAAGGAGAGGGAGGAGGAGGGAAGAGAGTTCTGTTCCCTTGAAGCTGATATATTGGCCCCAACCTCTGGCCCCCTCTGACACCAACCCTGGACCAAGCACAGAAGTGGGAGTAGAGAAGGTTCTAGGAACTCACAATCAAACAGAACCACCCCCGGGCAAACCAGAGGCTTTCTTGAAGTGGTGGTGGGGGCTGGCGGTGTTGGAGGAGGACATGCCAAGGCTGGGGGGCGGCCAGTGCTGTGCCCTCGTCCTTCCCGCACGACGCCCGAGACACTGATTGTCCTTCAGTGTGGACATCTGGTAGCCACAGCCCAGGCCCCTGGATGTGGGCAGAAAAACACATGGGAGAGAAACAGAGAGAGGAAGCAAAGGTGAGAACAGAGGGGACCCATCGGCGAGGCCAACATCCAAACAGTGGGAGTCCAGAAAGAGCCAGCAGAGGGGCGGAGGGCACGGGGAAGGCAGGTGCAGGCAGTTTCCAGAGCCGCACATCAGCGGGCAGGAGCTGCTACCAAGACTGGGCTTGCACGGAAACTCAGCATCCCAGGACTTCAGGACGATGGGCACAGAGAACCCACAGGCTTCCAGACAAGAATCGGTACAAGGCGGATCCTGAAGATCTGCACTCAGGATGCTTTTGGACGAGCAGCACAGGAGTCACAGGACAAAGCAGCACCTGAAGACTCCGAATGGTGACGTCCTCTGACCTGGAGTTCTGTGCCAGCCAGATGACCAGTCCAGCGTGGAGGTGAAGACAGTTCCAGCAGGCAGGGTAGCCGTTTTCCTGCGATGCGCCCCTTTTGGGAAGCTACTAGAAGATCTATTCCGTAGAAACAGGACAAACCAGAGAGCTGAAGAAATGGGATTCCAGAAAATAAGAACCGGCTGGGAGCTGGGGAAGGGAACCCCAGAAGGACGATGACAGAGGTCCCAGGGGGCCGCAGAGGCTGTTTAATTTTATTGAAGGAATCCACCCTTTCCTTACATGTAGGCTTTCTGTCTTGCCTACAACGTTTTCCCGGGCCAGGCGCAGTGGCTCATACCTGCAATTCCAACACTTTGGGAGGCTGAGGCAGGAGGATCACTTGAGGCCAGGAATTTGAGACCAGCCTGAAGTTTGAGACCAACATAGACCCCCATCTCTACCAAAAAAAAACACAACTAGCTGGACATGATGGTGCAAGCCTGTGGTCCCAGCTATTCAGGAGGCTGAGGTGCAGGATTACTTGATCCTGGGAGGTCGAGGCTGCAGTGAGCTATGATTGAGCCACTGCACCCCAAACTGGGTGACAGCGTGAGACTCTGTCTCAAAAAACAAACAAACAAATGCTTTCCCTGCCTCCTGTCACCTAAATGATGAATGCCCCTGCCTTCCAGTCAGGTTTTTAGCCGACTTGATTGACTTCTTTTACACTGTTGGAGGCAGGAATCTGATTTCACTATTCATTTCCCAGTAGTGGTTTCTCTGGTTGGCGGCCGCCGTGTGAGGCGGGCCCTTGCTTGAGGCAGGGGTGGGTTCCCCGGGCAGGGGGTTCCCGATGGCACCGGCTGGCCTCTCCCTGGAGCAACTGCCCTAGGAAGTGCCAGGGGTGAACTGCTGCAGTGACACCGTCCCTCTCACAGATGGTCCCTGGTGGGAGTGAAGACCACAGGGCCCCTCAGCTGGCTACCCATGGAGGCCATCCCTCCTTGGGCTGGGGTCTGCACCCAGAGACCTGTGACCATGAGCTCCTTCTTGTCACCCAGATGAGCTGGACAGCCCTGCGGGCCGCGTTCCCCGCCCTGAGCCCAGCACAGCTGCACCGACTGCTGACTCACTACCAGCTGGCCTCGGCCATGGGCCCCGTGAGCACCTGGGAGCCGGGGGCCCAGGACAGTCCTGAGGCCTTCAGGTCAGGTAAGCTCTGCCCCAGGGCAGGAGAGGGCTGGGGACTCCAGAGACTCGCCCTGAGGCTGAAGGCAGCACGCTCTCATCCCATCTGAAGTGGAGTGTGGGGGCCCTCTCTCCTGGGGACCTCCCTAGAGAAGCCTCCACTGGGAGGACCCCCTGCCCCTTCCCCCACCTGGGGATCCAGGGAACTCCTCCGTGGGGGAGTCAAGGAGCCGAGAGTCCATGCCCAAGTTCCAGACTCCAGGCTCAGGTCCAAGGCCCCCTCGTTCCCTCACGGAGCCGGAGGTTGGGGCCTCCCCATGTTGTGTGGCTGCCCAGGAAGGGAGCAGCGGCGGCACACAGCCGTGGGGAAGCATCCCTGAGCACGTGAGCCATGTATGTGCACATGCAGGCACACGTGTCCATACGGAGGGGTCTGTGTGCATATATATGTGTACACACATACATAGGGGTGCATTTTATTTATTTATTTTTAATTTATTTTTTTTTTGAGACAGAGTCTCGCTCTGTCGCCCAGGCTGGAGTGCAATGGCCAGATCTCAGCTCACTGCAAGCTCCGCCTCCCGGGTTCCCGCCATTCTCCTGCCTCAGCCTCCCGAGTAGCTGGGACCACAGGCGCCGCCACCTCGCCCGGCTAATTTTTTGTGTTTTTAGTAGAGACGGGGTTTCGCCGTGATAGCCAGGATGGTCTCGATCTCCTGACCTTGTGATCCGCCCGTCTCGGCCTCCCAAAGTGCTGGGATTACAGGCTTGAGCCACCGCGCCCGGCCTATTTTATCTTTTTTTAATTTATTTTTTTTTTGAGACAGAGTCTCGCTCTGTCATCCAGGCTAGAGTGCAGTGGCGCAGTCTTGGCTCACTGCAACCTCCGCCTCCCAGGTTCAAGCGACTCTCCTGCCTCCGGAGTAGCTGGGATCACAGGTGCTTGTCACCACGCCTGGCTAATTTTTGTATTTTGAGCAGAGACGGGTTTCACCATCTTGGCCAGGCTGGTCTCGAACTCCTGACCTAGGTGATTCGCCCTCCTCAGCCTCCCAAAGTGCTGGGATTACAGACGTGAGCCACCGTGCCTGACCAACGATGCATTTTATTGATTGATTGATTGATTGATTGATTGATCGAGACAGAGTCTCGCTGTGTCACCCAAGCTGGAGTGCAGTGGGGCGATCTTGGCTCACTGCAACCTCTGCCTCCTGGGTTCAAGCCATTCTCCTGCCTCAGTCTCCCAGGTAGCTGGGATTATAGGTGCTTGCCACCACGCCTGGCTAATTTTTGTGTTTTTGGTAGAGACTAGGTTTCACCCTGTTGGCCAGGCTGCTCTTGAACTCCTGACCTCAGGTGATCCGCCTGCCGGGGCCTCTGAAAGTGCTGGGATTACAGGTGTGAGGCACCGCGCCCGCCAGGGGTGCATTTTAATGTGAGATTATACACACATCTCCCATCATTCGCATTATGTATAACACATCAACAAAACAGAGTACGGGATGGTGGGAGGCACAGAGGCGACGGGGCCTTGGATGCCGTTCCGTGGCCCCCGGTCACCTGGCACTGGGCCTGGAGAACATCTCTGAACAGGACCCCTGGCTCCACCTGACACCTTCTAAGTCCTCCCTCCTCATTGATTCATTTCTGTGGCCTGAATTCTGTGCTGGGGGCTAGGAGCTCAGTACGCACGCACTCTTCTGTCGCTTGAAAAGTGCTCGCGTTCCAGGGGACAGAGAACAGCCCGCACACAGGCCGTTTGGGTCCCGTGATTCCTGCAGGGAGGCAGTCAGCTCCGGCCCTGGCAGCACCTGGGAGAGCTTGCGTCCAGCTCAGTGGGGCTGGGGGAGCTCCAGTTACCCGTGGACACCATCAGAAACCAGTGGGGCAGAGACAGACCCAGTGCAGAGCCACTCAGTGGGGCTGGAGGGTTCCTGGCTACAAGGCCTTGTTCTCAGTCCTGAGCAGCTCGGACGTCACACCGGGTGGTCAGCGAGGATTCAGAAGGGATGAGTCCTAGGGTGGGTCCAGTTACTGTGGCCAGGATCCCAGCCTCCTGTGTCCATAGGTCAGGGGACTCAGAGCTCAATCTGCTGGCCCCTGGGTTCCCACACCGTTGGGCGGGGTGGCCTGGCGAGGGAGGCAGCTTCTCCTGTGGCCATCACGGGCATCCTCTCTGCCCCACAGAGGATGTCCTGGAGTCCTACGAGAACCCCCCACCCATCGTCCTGCCCAGCGAGGGCTTCCAGGTGGACTTGGAAGCCAACTGCCTGGACGACAGCATCTACCAGCACCTGCTGTACATCCGCCACTTTCTGTGGGGCCTGCGGAGCAGAGCCAGCCCTGGCAGCCCTGGCAGTGGGGCCCCCCAGCCAGCGTGCCCCGAGGTATCCGGGGAGGGGGCCCCAGCCAGCGTGCCCCGAGGTACCCGGGGAGGGGACTCATCCAGCGTGCCCTGAGGTACCCGGGGAAGGGGCCCAGACAGCGTGCCCCTAGGTGCAAGAGGACAGGAGAGGGCCTGGGAGCTGGGCTGGGGACAGCAGGCCAGAGCTCTGGGAACCCCGGGAGTCCTGGTCCACCGCAGGCCGTGCTTACCAATGCGGGGGAAGCCCTTTGCCTCTTGCACGTCTCAGGCTGCACAGGCTGCCAGGAGTCCTTTTCTGACTTCTGCCCCCACAGCCTGGCGGCCCTTCTGCCTGCAGGCTGCCCAGTTGCCCAAGTGCTGTGCCCATCGGGCCACCTCTCCTCTGCCTGAGTTGTCACCCTTCCTCTCCCCAGGGTATGCACCACGCAATCCCTGACGGGCATCCAGAGGCCCCGAGCTGCCCCCTGGCTTCCAGGGACCCTGGCCCAGCAGCCCGGGAAGCTGCCCCAGAGCGTACTCTTCCCTTGAGGGGGGCTCCCTGGGCACAGGCACCCCCTGGAAGGCAACCCAGCCGTGGGGGCTCCCAGGCTGGCCCTGCGCACACGGACTCGTCCTGCTTGCTCACGCCTCCCAGCACTCCACTCGGCCCTGAGCCTGGGGACCCCGACTGGGCAGAGTCTGGTGGCCCCTGCGGAAAAGCGCTCCCAGAAAGGCAGAGGAACGGACCCAGCGGCCTCCGGGGCACAGCTCTGGAAGGTGAGGCCTGCCTGGTGCTCAAGCGGGAACCCACCCCAGACCCACACAGCACCGTGATGGCCGGTCCCCTGGGGTCATTCCACCCTTGGGGTCCTGGCTTTCAGTACCTGCCCCACAGACACCTGCAACCTGGGATGGGGCCAGATGGAGAGGACTCAGGGCAGCTCAGCCCCCCAGGAGCTGGGCCACACGGTTGCTCAGTCGCTGACACGTCTTGGGCAGATACTCTTTGTGATCTCGGAGAGAGAGGGTCTAGAAAGCGGCTCAGAGTCACTCCTGCACTGGGCGGAGGAAGGGATGTCTGAGCCAGTGGAGAGGATGTGCTGAAGGGGAACCCAGAGGTCTTCAGGGAGGAGGTGGAGCTGGAGCCCTCTGGGGCAGGGCCTGTGTGTGCCTGTGTGCTTGTGCGTGTGGATAGGTGCGTTCACAGGTGCATGGGTGTGCTGGTGCGTGTGTGCATGGGTGTGTGCGTGGATGTGCTTGTGTGTCCATCTCTGTGTGCCTGGGTGTCTGCATGGTGTGCACTGTGTGTGCATCTGTGCGCATGGGTGTGTGTGCATGGCTGTAAGTGCACGTGTGCATGGGCATGCTTGCACGTGTGTGCATGGTTGTGAGGGTATGTGTGCATGAGTGTGTGTGCACAGCCGGGCTAGGCTGGGGAGGGCATTGAGGGTGCGGCAGCCCAAGTGGCCCTGGCCCCGTGTGAAGGGGTTGGGTGTGCCCTGCAGGAGTGAAGTGTCCTGGGTGCGTGTGCAGAGTTCAGAGTGTCCCCTGTGGCTTGGGGCCACTTGGCAGAGCTGGGTCCCAGGCAGGCCACCTGCTCAGGGGCACAGCTCGTCTCTGACCCAAGTGCCCTCGCGGCGGGATCGCCATTATGGAGAGGGCAGCAGCTGGTGGCCCTCAGGGCAGGTGCTTAGGCTGGGCTGGGCTAGGGCCTGGGGCCCCAGTCTGGTCAGCGGCGGGAACCCTTGGGGTGCACATGGTCACATCTGGGTGTGGAGGGAGGAGGAGGAAGAAGCGCAGAGATTGCTGAGGAGGCAGCACAGAACCACTTGGGGCCCCAGAGCCGGAAAACAGCCGTCCCCCAGAGAGGCCAGTGTCCTGGGGCTGCGAGGGGCGGGGACTGAGGTGCTCCTTCAGGGGACGTGGGGTGTCGTTCACAGGCAGACCCTGACCCTAGTGTCTGGGTCGCCGGTCACATTGTGCCTGAACAGTGTCTCCTGGGAGCCACAGGAGGCCGTCCAGTCCCTAACCTCCTGCAGAGGCAGCCAGGCTAGGACATCCTGTTCCTCATCCTGACTCCTGGCGCCTCACTCCCACCCACCTTTCCCGGCCCCCACCCAGGAGACTCTGCAGCCCCTGAGGACGAGTCCCCTCCAGCCCCGTCCAGTCGCAGCTCCAGCACTGAGGACTTCTGCTACGTCTTCACCGTGGAGCTGGAACGAGGCCCCTCCGGGCTGGGGATGGGCCTGATCGACGGGATGGTGAGAGGCCCAGGACCCCCGCCCCACCCCCGTGCAGGCTGCCTGGCTTCTGCCGTTCATGCGAGCCTGGCTGCAGCTTGCGTGGCCACAGGGCTACAGGAAGGCCTTCGGGGAGGAGAGTGGGGTGGTCCCTGCAGCTGGGACGGAGGACCTGGCCTATCCAATGGCCGTGCCCCCTGGGCCTGCTGTCTCTTGCCTCTGTCCTCAAGCCTTTGGGGTCTGTCCTGGGCCTGTGGGGACTGTGGTGTCCACTGCTTTTCTGGAGGGACACGTGAAACCATGAGTGGGCCTGGCTGGATGCCGGGCAGGGGCCTGTAGGTGCCAAGGGAGGGGCTGCGGGGGTCCTCGCTGGGGACAGTGAGAGTCAGGGGCCTGCAGAGCTCTGAGGCCTCTGCTTGTCCCCAGCACACACGCCTGGGTGCCCCCGGGCTCTACATCCAGACCCTGCTCCCAGGCAGCCCCGCAGCGGCCGATGGGCGCCTGTCGCTAGGGGACCGAATCCTGGAGGTGAACGGCAGCAGCCTCCTGGGCCTTGGCTACCTGAGGTACCCCTACCGCATGCACGCCCGGCCCTTCCTCCCAGACGCCCTGCTCAGGGGAGGGGACCTGGGGTAGCAGGAGAGGCCCGGCTGCACCCTGTGGGGCTCCCCTGGTGCCCTCCTCTCCAACCCCCACCTCTGGCGTGGATTTCAGAGCCGTGGACCTGATCCGTCACGGCGGGAAGAAGATGCGGTTCCTGGTTGCCAAGTCTGACGTGGAAACAGCCAAGAAGATCCATTTCCGCACACCCCCCTAGGGGGACTGCGAGGACACCCCCACACGCCCGGTGCCCGGTCCTGCCTGGTGACACGGGGCTTCCTCCCGCCTTCATCCCTGTTTTGTAACTGACCAAGTCGGGTCCCAGGTGGGGAGCCTCACCTTGGGGACACGCCTGTTGATAACATGCGTCTCAGTGTAGGTTTTATTTATATGGTAGATGACGCGACGTTGTGATGTTTGTTACAGAGCTTTTATGTTTAAAGACTTTAATGGAGAAGTACGGATTCAATAAACTATTTTTCCCGTTCTTAGAGGGTGACCTGCTGGGGTCTCATCTCGGGTAGCAGGCGTGGGCCGCTCGGAGGGGCTGCAGGGGCTGCCCGTGGCCTCTGCCTGCCACCGGCACGGGGGAATGCAGCAACTGCTGTTATCAGGGGATCATCTGAACCGATTCTCCCTGCCCCCGCCCCGCCCAGACACAGGGCACTGCCGGAAGCAGCTCCAGGAGCCCCTCACAGCTGGAGCAGGGACCAGACCTGGCACAGAGGCCACTGGACTTCTGATCCCGCTGCTCAGCACAGGCCCCAGAGAAAGGTCTAGACACCCAGGGGTTGGAAAGTGGACGGGCCTTTCCCAAGCCCAGCCTGGGCCCTGCCTCCTCTCCCAGGACTCCTGCTCCCTCCCGAGTTCCTCTCCCCTAAGAAAGCCACCAGCTTGGCCCTAATACCAGGCTGGTGGCCCCAGGCCCTTAATCCTCGCCCTCCGGCCCTAACCTGGGCAGGAGGCCGGCGTCCCTCTCCACCAGCCAGCTGACCGTGCGCAGGACCGGCCTCGCGGTGACAGCGCGGGTAGTTGGGCATCTTCAGCGGGGTCAGCAGCTCCGTGGACTGGGTGCGGGCGGCTTCCACGCCCTCCTCGCTGTGGTGGAACTGGTGGCCCAGGGTCATCTTTGATAGCAACAGAGAGACCCTGGGGAAGAGGGTCCCGGTCAGTCAGTTGCAGATGCTTCCCTCACGGGGACAGAGGTCCGCGCGGGGTCCCCAAATTGGTGTCCTGGGTCCGTCCCAGGCCCTGGGCCTCGTGCAGCCCCACGCTGCCCCCTGGTGTGCACTACTGCGAGGTGCAGCGCGTCCGGCCCAGTTCTGTGTGCGGCACCCCATTGCGCCTGGCTCCAAAAGGCGACCACTGCCAGGTTCCAAAAATACTGGATAAAATATATATATATATAATGTGTATGTATATATATTTAAGATGTTATATATAAAATAATTTATATAATAATTTGTATATTATATATTATATGTAATATATTCATGTCTTTTATAAATATATAAATATTTATTTAATTTTTTTATGAGACAGAGTCTCGCTCTGTCACCCAGGCTGGAGTGCAGTGGTGCGATCTCAGCTCACTGCAACCTCCGCTTCCCAGGTTCAAGCAATTCTCCTGCCTCAGTCTCCTGAGTAGCTGGGACTACAGGCACACGCCACCACGCCTGGCTAATTTTAATTTAGTATTTTTAGTAGAGACGGGGTTTCACCATGTTGGCCGGCCAGGCTGATTTCGAACTGACATCAAGTGATCTGCCCGCCTTGACCTCCCAAAGTGCTGGGATTACAGGCATGAGCCACCGTGCCTGGCCTTGTTCTCTTTCTTTTCCTAGAATTCCCACAGCGTGTGTGTTAGCACTGCTGAGAATGTCTCACAGCTCTGGACCATCTGCATTTCTGGACCTGGTGCAGATCCCAGGATGCTGGACTCGGATTTGATGCCTTACAGTGGAAGGGGGTTGAGTATATTTTTTATGTGGGAGGGGTGTGGACTGTAGTGGCCAGAGGAAAGACAGTGGCAAGGCATTTCCAAAAGTGGCCACCAACAGTTCCTCCCACAAAGAGAAGGGGCTTATCTCTTCTTCTCTGCAATATTCTCCGACCTTCTGACTTGCTCCGAACAATAGGATGCAGCGTAAGTGATATTCTGGGACTTCCAAGCCAGACTCAAGGGCCTTTGGCTTCTGTTTTCATGCTCCTGGAACTCAGCATCCATGGAAGGAAGTTCTTGGCTTCAACCCAAGGAAGGGAGGCCCCGTGAAGTCCGGGAGGCCCAGCCAGCCCCTGGCCACTGAAGCGCCCAGCTGAGGTGCAGGACTCTTGAGGGCTGCCACTGTATGCTGAGCATCCAGGCGAATGCAGTCCCACGAGTGATCCCACGTAGTGGGATCCTACGTAGAACAGAACAACTTCTCAGCTGGGCCCCAGACAATCCACAACACTTTAAAAAGTAACACTTCTTATGGGTGTTTTGTTTTTTGGGTTGGTTTGTTTGTTTTAATGGAGTTTCACTCTTGTCACCCAGGCTGAAGTGCAATGGTGCAATACAGCTCACTGCAACCTCTGCCTCCCAGGTTCAAGTGATTCTCCTGCCTCAGCCTCCTGACTGGGATTACAGGCACCCGCCACCACGCCCAGCTAATTTTTGTATTTTTAGTAGAGACCAGGTTTCACCAGGTTGGCCAGGCTAGTCTCAAAACTCCTGACCTCAGGTGATCTGCCCGCCTTGGCCTCCCAAAGTGCTGGGATGACAGGCGTCAGCCACCGTGCCCGGCCTGTTTTTGTGTTTTAAAAGCATTTTATTTTGACATAATTATAGATCCAAAGGAAGCTGCAAAAATAGCAGAGTCCCGTGTACCTCCACCAACTTCTCCCACTGCTGCACGGCAGCAAAACCTGAAAACTGACATTGACTTGTTACTATTAATATACCAGTTATGCTTGGTGCATATTCAGTTGTCACCACTTTTTAAATTAAAATGAAATTCACATACAGTTAACTATTTAAAGTTATAATTCAGTGGCAAGTAGCACGTTCACAGTGTTATGCAACCATCACCACTGTCTAGTTTTAAAACATTGTTGTCACTTCCCAAGGGGAAAACATGCCTCCCCATTCCCTTCTGCCCCTAGGCCCTGGCAACCGCGAACCCACTTTCTGCCTCTGTGGCTACACCTCTTGTGGATACTTCATGTGTTATCAGAGAAGGGTCCTGATCCAGACCCCAAGAGAAGGTTCTCGAACCTCGAGCAAGGAAAAATTCAGGGCAAGTCCATAAAGTGAAAGCAAGTTTATTAAGAAAGTAAAGAAACAAAACAACCGGGTGCAGTGGCTCATGCCTATAATCCCAGCACTTTGGGAGACCGAGGCGGGAGGTCAGGAATTTGAGACCAGCCTGGCCAACATGGTGAAACCCCGTCTCTACTAAAAATACAAAAATTAGCCGGGCATGGTGGCACGCGCCTGTAATCCCAACTACTTGGGAGGCTGAGGCAGGAGAATCACTTGAACCCGGGAGGCAGAGGGTGCAGTGAGCTGAGATCATGCCATTGCACTCCAGTCTGGGCGACAGAGCAAGATTCCGTCTCAAAACAAAAAAGAAAAAGAACAATGGCCACTCCATAGGCAGAGCAGCAGCATGAGCTGCTAGACTGAGTATACTTATAGTTATTTCTTGATTATATGCTAAACAAGGGGTGGATTATTCATGAGTTTTCTAGGAAAGGGATGAAGATTTCCCAGAACTGAGGGTCCTTCACCTTTTTAGACTACATAGGATAACTTCCTGACGTTGCCATGGCATTTAGAAACTGTCAGTGCGCTGGTGGGAGTGTCTTTTAGCATGCTAATGCATGATAATTAGCGGCTAATGAGCAGCGAGGATGACTGGAGATCACCGTGGTTGCAGCTTCTCTATAGCATCCTGTTTTATCAGGAGCGTCTTCGGGACCTGTATCTTGAACCTGTACCTTGCGCTGACCTCCTGTCTCATCCCCTAAGAACGCCTATCCTCCTGGGAATGCAGCTCCGCAGGTCTCAGCCTGGTTTTACCCAACCCCTATTCAAGATGGAGTTGCTCTGGTTCCCACGCCTCTGACATGAGTCATACAGTATGTGGCCTTGGGTCTGGATTCTTTCACTTAGCATATAATGTTTCTAAGCTTCATCATCTTTTCTGCAAATCTGAGACTATTCTAAAATTTCAAAGTTTATTTTTAAAAATTGAGAGCTGGTAAGCTTTGCCCCTTTCCCAGTTGCCTCCTGGAGGCCACCTGGAGGCCGCTCCTCCCTAGGCTGGGGTCGTGCCCTCGGAGTCCTGTGGCCATGAGCTCCTTCTTGTCACTCAGATGAGTGGGACGGCCCCGCAAACCACACTCCCCGTCCTAAGCCCGGCGCAGTTGCATGGGCTGCGGACTCAGCACCAGCTGGCCTGGGCGGTGGCCCCATGAATGCCTGGCAGCTGGGAGCCAGGACAGCCCCGACGCCTTCCGGTCAGGGAAGCCCCGCCCCAGGGCAGGAGGGGAGCTGGGGACTCACTGGGAGACTCATTCCGAGGCTAGGCTAGGGGCAGCCCCCCGCTCTCTGAGTTTCAGGATGGGCCCAGCAGCTCCCCCAGACACCCTGCTGCAGACTGGGTCGTGCACCGCGCGGGGAAGCGATCCTGAGACCCGCGCACGTGCATGCACGTGTGCACGCACGCCCTGGTGTGCACAGTTCTACACGTGCACTGCTGTGTTTCCACGTGGAAACACAAACACAGCGCTGCCGAAGGAAGCGCCTGCCAGCGCCAGCCTTTCCTGCGACCCCAGCTCAGCGACCCTGGGCTGTCCTGGGGCCAGCCTGCTCCGCCGCGGGGGACACCACTCGCCCTGGAGCTCGGAACGCGACCCCAGGCCCAGGCTGCGGGGCGGGCGAGCGCCTCCTGGGCTGGAACCTGGCGGTGAGGACCCCGCGGGTTCGGCCCGGGCGTCTGGGGAGCTCCTGTGCCCGCACGGTGTCCCCTGCTCCGCCCCTTGCGCATCACTCGCCCCCTCCCCCCGTAGTCCTGAGGCTAGGCGAGGGGCAGGACCCCGCAGCCGCCTTCAGTGCTTGGTTTCTTAGCCGCGGAGCGATGGGGGACCCGGGGCGGGGCCGAGGCTGGAGGGAGGCGGGCGGGGCCAGAGCAAAAGCGGGGACCGAGGGCGGAGCCAGAACCGGGAGTGAGTCTGGGGGCGGGGCGCGAGGCTCGCGGGGCGGCGGCGCCCCCTGGCGGCTGAGCCCGTCCCAGGCACCCGGCGGAACGTGGGACGCAGCTGTGCCTCGATGGCCCGGCGGGTAGGAGCACAAGGCCCAGGAAGGTGGCGGGGCCGGGGCCGCACAACCAGGCACCTCCCCTTCGCGCGAATCCAGTGCTCTGAGCGCCACTCAGGTGGCTCCCTGGGACTTTCCCTCAGAATGGCCAGAGGCTGCAGCCTGCACAGGCGACAGCGCCTGCAGCCCTCCCCGGCCCCTTTCCTTCATCTTCAAGCTATTCAAGGGCATCAAAAAGGGCACTGACCAAGCGCACCATCCAGCGCAGTGACCACCCCTGGGAACTCCCGTCACTGCCTTCTGGGCTGTGCACAAATGACCTGGTTTCTGCAGCAGCAGCGGCGCACTCGGCTGAGCCCCCAGGACTGGCAGCAGCTGCAGGGCCTCCAATCCCTGGCCCTCTCCCCAGGGTGCAAGGCAGGTAAGGGAACTGACTGCGCACTCTTCACACAGACGCTTATTAAAGGAGATTTATTTTTACCGCAGCTCTTTCTGCCCCTAAACTGTCCAAAAACAAAGACTAGGGAACAGCCCGAGCAGCCTCCACCCAGCCCGGCCACAGGGCCTCAGCTGCCAATCAGAGCCTCAGCCGCCAATCAGAGCCTCAGCCGCCAATCAGAGCCGCTCCATGGCTCCAGCTCAGCTCAGATCAGCGTTGCCCGGGAGAAAAAGGCTCGGAGACAAAGCCCAGAGGGTGAGCAGGGGCCAGCCCCACGGGTCTGAGGGTGCCAAGCGCACCCTGGGCCTTGCCTCCTCTCCCAGAACTCCCTCGCCCTCTTCATCTGCACCGGCGTCCCTGGCCGCTGTCCCTTCATCCCGGCAGGAGGCTGGCCTCCCTCTCCACCAGCCGGCTGACCGTGCGCAGGGCCAGGGGCAGCGCCGTGTTGACATCGCGGTGGTATCGGGGGCTGCACACCTCCGTGCTGGGTGTGAGCACAAACTGGGCCACACTGGGCATCTTCAGCAGGGTCAGCAGCTCCGTGGCCCGGGTGCAGATGGCTTCCGCACCCTCCTCGCCATGCTCGCCGTGCATGGAGCCGGTGGCTGGACTCTGAGTCAGGGTCCTCATCTTTGACAGCAACAGAGAGGCCCTGGGGAAGAGGGTCCCTACTGTCAGCTGCAGATGTTCCTCTCCCAGGGACAGGGGTCTGTGTGGAGGGACCAGGCCCTGAAGCGCCCAACAATGGCTTTAGCTCAGCAGGGCCCACTCAGGACCTGCGCTGCTGCCACCATTTCAAGACACCTGGACGGGAAGACCTCAGAAGCCACATCTCTTCCCCAGGAAAGCCCGAAGACTTCTCTCCCTCCCCGACTGGGCACCTGGGGATCAGGTCTTGGCTCCGGGAGGCCAGCTTCGTCAGGGTGGTCATCAGCGCGGTGACCACCTTGGGGGGACACCTGGGCAGGGCAGCAGAGGGGCGGCACTGGGTGACCTCGAACAGCAGGGCCTCCAGGGCTTCGAAGAACTTGTTGATCTGCTCCACAGTGCACCTCCGATCGTAGGCCACGGATAGGTACTCGCCGACGGCCCACACCTAGGCCCGGGGACAGAGGTCAGCCCCCACCCAGGCCTCCTGGGTCAGGAGCGGCCAGGGGAGGCCAGCGCCCGCCTTACCACACTTGTGACGAGGTTCGCCCTGCTGCGGAGGCCATTCACGCTGCCCAGGAACTCCAGCAGGTCTCTTGCCAGCTCCACCACCAGGGAGGGCTTCAACGTACACAGGGCCAGGAACTGGGAGCTCAGCACACTGCAAAGAGAGCTGGGTCCATGCCTGCTCCATGCCTGCTCTGTGCAGACTCTGACCCCATCCCCACGCAGACTCCATGCAGCCCTCTCACCCGGTCCCCACGCCTGCTCCACACAGACCTCTGACCCCATCCCCACCCCAGCCACCCCTTTCAGGCCAAGGGCCTGGAGGGACCCGAGAAGCGTGTGAGTGGGAGGTGCAGGCTGCACCCTCAGATAGGGGGACGCAGATGACTGCCAGCCCTAGAGGAACTGTTCTCCTCACTGGGGAGAAGGCTGGCACTGGCGCTGGCCTCAGGCCCGGGCTCAGAGTAGAACCAGGATGGGCCTGCGTGCATCAGGCCTTTGGACAGAAGGACCCCAGGGGACAGGGTGTGGAAGAGGGACTTGAGCCAACCCTGAAGATGACAGGCTCGGCAGAGGGAGGGACAGGGGAATGTTCTTCAGAGGCAGAGAGGAAGCACCGGGGCTGGACATGGGGCTGTGGGTGGGGGTGGCAGGGTCTGAGGCTGCTGAGGGCCCACCTAGGAATGGAGCTGAAGCCACTGAAGGGTAAGGGGAACGGGAAGGGAAAGGGGAAGGAAAGAGAAGGGGAAAGAGAAGGGGAAGGAGAGGGGAAGGGGAGGTGAAAGGGAAGGGGAAGGGGAGGGGAAAGGGGAAGGGGAGGGGAAAGGGGAAGGGGAGGGGAAGGGGTCCAGGAGGCACCTGCCTAGGGATGGGGAGGTGGCGCGGGAGGGACCCACCTATGTACACGGGCCGCATACCCCGGGGCCGGATAGAGTGAGTCGCTCCTGCCCAGGAGCAGCAGCGCCAGCTGGTTGATCAGGGCCCCGTCAGCCACCTGGGGATAAGGAGTGGGAGATAGGCTCAGCCCCACCCCCACTGCAAGCCCTAGGGTGGGGGATGAAGCCATGGTGAGGGTTGGGGGGCAGCTGAGGGACTGGAGACTCCTCGTCCACTGCCTTCCCAAACACCCAGGGACACAGAGACTCAGCTGGCAGCATCCGGGCACAGGGAGGGAATCCCCGGGCAGATCTGCGTGCCCCCCGCAGAGGCGTTGCTTCTGTTCCGCGGCTCCTCTGCTCTGCAAGGCTGGGGACACGTCTTGCTCGGCCAAGGGTGCGCCCAGGCGACACCCAGCCCTGTGCCCAGCGCCCTGCCGGCCTGCCCACCTCCCAGGCTCTCCTGCACTGGCGTCCGGCTTGTAGAGCTCCCCGAGGTGGGAAGCAGCAACGGTTGGGGAGGGCGGGGTACCAGCCTGTGGGAGCCTTTATTTTGGACTCAGATGCAGATGTTGAATTATCAGGGGCAGCAGGGGGACAAACTGCTCCGGCCCCCGCTGTGCCACCAGCGCCCAGGCCACTCACTCGCCCTGTCCTGGGGATGGGAGACAGGGCCTGCTGGGACAGGGGACGGGGCCTTCCGGGATGAAGGGGATGGGACGGGGGCTGGGGCCTGCTGGGATGAAGGGGATGGATGGGGGCCGGGGCCTGCCGGGATGAAGGGGATGGGATGGGGGACAGGGGATGGGGCCTGTGGGGATGAAGAGGATGGGACGGGGGATGGGGCCTGTGGGGATGAAGGGGATGGGATGGGGGCCAGGGCCTGCGGGGATGAAGGGGATGGAACGGGGGACAGGGCCTGCCGGGATGAAGGGGATGGATGGGGGCCGGGGCCTGCCGGGATGAAGGGAATGGGACGGGGGACGGGGCCTGCCGGGATGAAGGGGATGGGACAGGGGACGGGGCCTGCTGGGATGAAGGGGATGGGACAGGGGACGGGGCCTCTGGGGATGAAGGGGATGGGACGGGGGATGGGGCCTCTGGGGATGAAGGGGATGGGACGGGGGACGGGGCCTGTGGGGATGAAGGGGATGGATGGGGGCCGGGGCCTGCCGGGATGAAGGGGATGGAACGGGGGCCGGGGCCTGCCGGGACGAAGGAGATGGGACGGCGGATGGGGCCTGCCAGGATGAAGGGGATGGAACGGGGGCCGGGGCCTGCCGGGATGAAGGGGATGGAACGGGGGACGGGGCCTGCCGGGATGAAGGAGATGGGACGGTGGACGGGGCCTGCCAGGATGAAGGGGAGGGGACGGGGGACGGGGGACAGGGGACGGGGCCTGTGGGGATGAAGGGGATGGGACAGGGGACGGGGCCTGCCAGGATGAAGGGGATGGGACGGGGGACGGGGCCTGTGGGGATGAAGGGGATGGGACAGGGGACGGGGCCTGCCGGGATGAAGGGGATGGGACGGGGGACAGGGGACAGGGCCTGTGGGGATGAAGGGGATGGGACGGGGGCCGGGGCCTGCTGGGACTGTGGCCCGTGCAGCCATGTCCCTGTGCCTCCCTGACCCTCAGAGTGGCTGTGGATGGCAGGTGTGGTGGGATGAGCCTTCTGCAGAGCTCAGGAGGACCCCACGGTGCTGGCTCTGGCCTGCCCCTCGGTTGTGAGGCCCATGGGAATGGGGGGCCCCAGATGGCAAGCTCACCTGGGTCACCGCTGAGAAGAACGCCTGCAGCAGCGTGGGCACGGCCTCGGCACACTGGGCCACGCGGGCGCAGCCGGCCATGGGCTGCAGCAGCTGGTAGAGCGGCACCAACCTGAGAACACAGGCATAGCCGTAAGAGCCGCCCGCTCCCCTACCTGGTGACCACAGGCAAGGGCCAGGCGCCAGGGCCACGTTGCCACTGCTCCCTCTTGCACAGCTGAGCCCACTCCCATCCTCGCTCGTCGCCTCTCAGGACCTCCTGCTCCCCTGGGTTTGGGGAGAACCCTGGTGTCAGCACACCCGGGACAGTAGAGCCATCGGGGCAAAGGCTGATGTGCGCCGAGGGCAAGAGGCCTGTGGGCTGGTCCCAGGCCTCCTGCTTTCTGGGCTCAGGCTCAGTTTCTCCATCTGCAAAATGGAGCACCCACAGGGCCGACCCGCAGGCTTGTAAGGGTTGATGTGGGCAGCAGAGAGCTGAGAGCAGGCCCCGCACCCGGCAGACCTGTGTTGCACAAGCAAGGCCTCTGCAGTGGCGATGACAGTTGCTCCCCAGGTCAGGGACGCAGCCTTGTCTGGGCACAAAGCACCCTGGCCTCAGCCCAGGGCCCAGCAGCGAGCCCCACCCCAATGGCTGTAGCCTGGCTCTCTGAGCCCCTGGTGGTCCCCTGGCCCAAGGGCCCCCTACCTCTCGGTGGCGCCGCTGGCCTTGGGGCGCAGCAGGTATTGGAAAAGGCCCTGGAACTTCGGGTCCCGGAAGGCTTCCAGGCAGCTGGGGGCCCTGAGAGAGGTGTCCCAGAGTGGCCTCTCGGATGGAGCCGGCGATGACCTGCGTGGACAGATGCCCAAGGCCAGGCTAGAATGCGGCCCCTGCCCTCCAGGGCACCCCCATCAAGGAGACACATGGCAGGTGTCCCTAACATCAGAGCGCCTCGGGTGCTGGGAAGGGCTTGGGGACACGGGAGGCTTCAGGCCTGTGTGTGAAGACAGGTGAGGAACTCCGGGGCGCAGGGGCTGCCAAGGGTGACAGACACGCCCTGTCCTGGAGGTGGCTTTGCAGGGGAGGACTGGTCAGGTGTTGGTGAGGAGGGAGGAGGGTCCCCGGTGTAGGGTCAGGAGCAGTGAGGAGGGGGCCCCGTGTGTGGAACCAGCTGTCTGGAGAGGCAGCACTGGCGGAGGGTGAGGGGCCCACCTGAGCTGCAGGTCTAGCACCGCCGTCAAGCAGGGCAGGTCCAGCAGCGCGTGCAGCATCTCCAGGGCCGTGCCGGCGTCCACCAGGGCCGGGAGGAGCGCCACAAACTCGGAGGTGAGGGGTGGGCTGTTCCAGGCCAGGAACTGCGGGCACAGCGCAGGGGTTTGGACAGGGCTCGGAGCCGTGGAGCGGGCGGCAGAGGGAGCAGCTGGCCAGGGCCCCACTGCTGTCCCAGACCTGCAGTCCCCAGGAGGGCTTCTACATTTGCCTCCTCCTGCTTTTGATTTTTTTGAGACAGGGTCTTGCTCTGTCACCCAGGCTGGAGTGCAGTGGTGCAATCATAGCTCACTGCAGCCTCAACCTCCAGGCTCAAGTGATCCTCCCACCTCAGCCTCCTGAGCAGCTGGGACTACAGGCACACACCACCATGTGTGGCTGTTTATTTTTTGTAGAGAAGAGGTCTCCCTGTGTTGCCCAGGCTGGTCTTGAACTCCTGGCCTCAAGATCCTCCTGCCTTGGCCTCCCAAGGTGCTGGGATCACAGGCGTGAGCCACCGCCCCCGGCCTGTATCTACTTTCGTACCAACAGGTCAATCATTTCCCACTGTCCTGGTTTTTCTCTAGAAAAAGGATTCCCCACCTGGGCTGAAAAGACCTTACAGCGAGGTGAGGCTGCAAAAGACATTTCAAAAGCAAATGGCACCAGGCTGGGTGTGGTGGCTCATGCCTGTAATCCTAGCACTTTGGGAGGCCAAGGCGGGAGGATCATCTGAGGTCAGGAGTTCGAGACCAGCCTGGCCAACATGGCAAAACCCCATCTCTACTAAAATACCAAAAATTAGCTGGACATGTTGGTGGATGCCTGTAATCTCAACTACTCGGGAGACTGAGGCAGGAGAATTGCTTGAACCCAGGAGGCTGGGGTTGCAGTGAGCTGAGATTGAGCCACTGCACTCCAGCCTAGGTGACAGGAGCAAGACCCCATCTCAAAAAAAAAAGAAAAAAAAAAAGGCAAATGGCACCCAAGGGCCCAAGGGCCCAAGGCACCAGGCAGGGCTCCTGGGGGAGGGATCCAACTAGCCAGCAGCCCTGCCCCAGTGCTGTGAGAACAAACTCACCATCTTGTGGCACTACCCCCCTCCCCAAAACAACCACAAGGGAGTTCTTGGACGGCACCATTGTTCACGTGATGCTGCACCCCGGACCCCCACCTCACCCTGCACCCTGCATTCCAGGCCCGGGACTCACAGGGCTCTATGCTCAGCCAGGACTCACCCTGAACCCCGCTGGAAAGAGGGGAGGAGTCCCAGGCACTTGCGCCCCTACCCTGGCACCCAGGGACGCCCAAATGTACCTTGAAGAGGTTGGGGAAGCTCAATCTGAGGGTGCCGAGGTGCCCGCCGAACAGGTGGAGGTTGTCCCTGCAGAACTGGACGAACTCAAAGGCCAGCATGGGGCTGTGGAACTGCTCCAACGGGATCCTGGTGAACAGGTGCTGGTAGACGGCTTCCGAGTCCACTGCAGCTGCCTCCCCTGCAAGACCAGGGCCCGTCAGGGTGCACATCTGCTGGACGCACGCTTGACCTCATTCTGGCTGTGCTTCTCTATGGCTGGTTAGGGCCCCTGAGTCTTGGGCCTGCTCTCCAGGACACCAAGGGCTCCGAGGCATCCTACACCGGGACGCTTGGGAAGCGGCACTCAGTCTCCCTCACCCAGGAACACGGTCAGCTCGTGAGTCACACAAACTATGGCACATTCTTTGGAAGGTGCTGGTTCCTAGACTTTCGGGTTTCCCAGGCTAGGGACTCAGCAAAGAGAGTTTCTGTTTATTTCCCTATTTTAAAAGTTTAAAAATTACCAACATCTAGCACAGTGATCCATAAAAAATAAATATGAGCTGGGCACGGTGGCTCATGCCCGTAATCCCAGCACTTTGGGAGGCCAAGGCAGGAGGATCGCTTGAGGCCAGGAGTTCCAGACCAGCCTGGGCAACATAGCAAGACCCCTGTCTCTATTCAATCACAATAAAAAAAAAAAAAAAAAAAAGGGAAGAAGAAATTCCATCCTAAAACTAAAGGCAGGAGCAGAGCCCCGAGAGTCAGCGCCACCCCGCCCCGGGCTCACCGTGGCTCAGGAAGAAGCGGGCGAGGGGCAGCAGCACCCGCACAGAGGCCGGGTCCCCGCGCACCCGCCCGTGCAGGGCCTTCAGGCAGGAGAGGCTTCGGTACAGGAAGGACGGGTCCTGCCGGCACAGCACATCCAGCACCAGCACAGCCTCCACCAGGCACTGTGGGACACACGCCACATCAGAAGGGCCGAGTCACTGCCTCCCATCCCCCCATCCCCAGCCACTTACAGCTTTCTGCAGGTCGGAGTCCCCCTTCCTCAGGGCCCCTGGAAGGAGGGGAAGAAGTCAGCCGGCTCTGTCTCAGCCTGGGAGCAGCCCAGTGAGGGGCAGCTTGTGTCCTGGAAGCTCCAGGCAGGACCAGGAGCAGAGCAGTGGGACCCCAGGAGGACTTGAGTGGGACTGAGGCTGAGGGGCCCAGGCGGGACAGGGCCAGGCTGGGGGCTGGGGTGGAGCCCGAAGAACACTCAGGGCTGACCCCAGAAGTCAAAACAGGCCTGCTCCAAACCGGCCACCCAGGATCCCGCTCTGTGGAGCAGCAGCTCAGGGAAGATGTGCAGCCTCAGGTCGCCTTGCAGAGCAGGTGGAGGCCAGTGCCCTGGGCCGGGGACTCACGTCGGTTACTCTGCTCAATGAGGCGCTGGCAGTACTCGAAGGCCACCTCCCGAAGCCGCTCCCGGGGCGGCAGCAGGCGGCCGGCGGAGGAGGTGGCGGAGATCACCGACAGCGTGGAGCCCTCTTGCTCTGACCTGTCATCTGCGGGAGGAGGGAACCTCAGCAGGCCGATGTGTGGCTCCCGGGCTGGGACATGCCCGCTGCCCTGCTTGGAAGAGCAGCCCCTCCCAGGGGACGTGAGGCGTCACTGTCTTGGGACGTCCACCCACCCAGCAGCTTCCCCATCACAGCCGCCCTTCAGGGTAGCTGAGGCTTCTTCCCCAACAAGTCCACAGAGCAGCTGGGAGGAGCTCACCAGCGTCACCCCAGCAACCTTAAGGGAGCCGGCCTTAAACGGCGGCTCTGACTTCTGCACATCGCGTGAGGGTCATGAGGTGTCCAGAGGATCCCCAGTGCTGACCCTGGGCCCCAACGATGCTGGCCTGGGAGTGTTCTCGGGTTAGCTCCAGGTCAGCAGGCTGCACTGCCCAGTCCTGACCTCTGCTGTGTCCTGGGCACACCTGTGTCCCTCCCACCTCCGCCTGTGTCCCCGTCGCGCCCAACCCACAGTGCGCCTGCCTCCCACCGCTGTCTGACGTCGGCCCACCCCCAGCACACCTGTGTCCAGGGTGCCCAGGCCCTCGGGGCCACTGTGCAACAGCCATGCCCGCAGCATGGAGAAGGCCTGCACGTTCAGCCACTGGTCCTCCGTGAAGCGGTGGCCGGTGGAGAGCACCGTGAAGAAGTCTGTGGCCACCGCCCCGTCCATCTCGGTGATGGGGCCCGGCTGCGGGAAGGACAGGTGGGAGTGGGTGGAGGGGCCGAGGCTGGGAAAAATGCCAGCCTTTAGTACGAGCTCCTCAGGAGGTGGAGGGGAAGCTGCCTGCATGTGAGCCCAGGCAGCGGCCCGCCCTGTGTGATGTAAAAACACCGTCCCCACTTGACCCCAGGCAGACGCACATCGCACATCCTCCCCGCCGGCCCGGGGAGTGAACCCACGCGCAGACTCCCGGAGCCATGCGGGTCAGTGGCTGCGGCCCCGCCTGACCCAAGCGCCTCCTGCAGCAGAGGCAGGCTTGTCCTGGACCCTATGGAATGACAGCAGGCGCCAACGGGGACCTGTTAGGCAGGGCTGGCCAGAGCGGGCACAGGCGCCGACGGGGACCTGTTAGGCAGGGCTGGCCACAGTGGGCACAGGAGCTCCCGGGAAGGGGTTGTCTGTGACTCTGTTCCCCATGGTTCCGGAACAGTCCCGGCCTCACGCGCTCACCTGCCGGGCCCTGGGTGTGGAGAAGAAGCTGCTGGAGTGCGGGAGCCCTTGCTGGAGGCTAGCGTAGCGCAGCCAGTCGACCAGCCGCTTGCTGAGCAGGGTGGCCTGGTCTGCAGTGGGTAGAGTGGCATGGGGAGGTGAGGTTAAATCCTATGGATGCCCGGGCCATTGGGATGCTGGCCGATTTTTCTCAGAAAACAGAATCCTACAACGTCCCAGGTCATTGGGCCTCCCCATGCCCCCAACTCGCTCCCCACTCCCAACCCACCACGGGCCCTCAAGGAAAGACCCGGGAAGGCAGACCCCGAAGAGCCTCTTGGGAGGGGCCCCACGTACCCTCCTGGAGGGTGCCCGGGCTGAGGACCACGACCTTGGCCATGATGGGGAGGAGGTATCTGAGGCTGGGCCCCTCAGGCTGCCGGCTCTCCAGTGCTCGCAGCACGCCCTGGCCCACAGCACTGACCTCCTCATTTCTATCACCCTTCAAATCAGACAGGGCAAGCGCTGGGGTACTGGCCTGTGCCGGAGACCAGCTCCCCCAATTTCGGAAGTCTGTGTGACACTCCTGAGAAGCATCGGTCCCCGATACCCCGGTCCAGCAGGTGGCAGGGAGGATGTCACGCCCAGGCCCACCCAGGGCCGCAAGGTGCCTGCTCTACCTCCAGCCTCTTTCTCTGGGAGCTGCATCGTTGAGGCTGGAGGGGGCCTGGGTAGGGGCATGGCTGATTCAATGCTAAAAACACAATGGTGGCCACCATGGGCCTGGTCACAGCCACAGGACACCCCGTCCTGCGGGGCCTCCAGTGTGGAGTCCCAGTCTTTAAACCGCCCGCCTCACTCTACACACCCAGATGCTGAAACATCTGAGCAGCACCAGAGACAGCCAGCACAGGGGCAGGGCCATCAGGGGAGGGAGGAGGGCGCCTGGTGGCTGGGAGGCCATGTGCCTGGTGGGGGGTGCACCGCTGGTGCCTGGCAGCAGTTTTGCAAGATCACCTTCCACTAAAAAAAAGTGAGAGTTGCATGAGGAAAAGGGCTGGTGAAATGAACAAGAGCCGGAGTCATCTTGTCCCAAAGGCGAAGAGCCACCACGGCATTACCGGGGTCATCTCGGAGGCCTGGAGGTGGCCTGCAGCGGCTCTGTGAGGTGAGGGGGCTGGGCACCAACCAGGACGCCCTGGGTACGCTGGGGCCCACAAGCTCTCGCCCACACAGAACTAAAGCAACTGCAGGCTGCACCCCAGCACGGGAGGCGGCTCATGACGCTGCAGGCTGGGAACGGAGGGAAAACCCCGGCTCCACCGCAACCTTCCAGCAGACTCTGCACCCCTGGCAACCCATGCCCACAGACAGCCTATGAACCCCTGGATCCCCACGCCGAGCATCCAGGCCTGCTCACCACACAGAGGGAGGGAGGACATGGACTTGGCAAAAACTCCCGGCCGAGGAGGGAGGGCTGCTACCCAGAAGTTCGAGACCAGCCTGGGCAACACAGTGAGACCATGAGACCCTACAAAAAATACAAACATTAGTGGGTGTGGTGATGCATGCCTGTAATCCCAGCCACTCAGGAGGCTGAGGCGGGAGAATTGCTTGAGCCAGGGAGGTCGAGGCTGCAGTGAGCTTTGATCACGCCATGGCACTCTAGAATGGGCAGCAGAGGGAGACCCTGTTTCTAAAAAACAAAACAAAACTCCAAAAAGAAGGTCTGGAGGCCCAGCCTCCCCTGACTCACTCTCTCAAGGCTGTGTCTGAGAAACTGAACTCCACCACCTCTACTGAGCTCCGCTTACACCAACAAATCCTGTGGTCTGAAAACTCCTGGAATGGGGCCCGGGGAGCTGAAGCCTGCTGCTCTATCAGCATCACCAGTGCCACCCTTACACGTGTCTAGGAATGTCACCAGAGCAGCCCAGGCTCTGTACCCTCACGGAGTCTTCAAGAGAGCACCGGATGGCTGCTTCCCACGGAACAGGGGAGACAGGAAGCAGGGGCGCCGGAGCCGGCAGGTGTCTGCTTCTTCTAGACGCATGTCGGTGCTGAGTGCCTGGCACACTTGAGGCTGGAGCATGCCCTGTTGACTGGAATGGGTACGCAAGCCCAGCGGGCCCACGTAGCATGTTGGTGCCCGTGAGGGGACATAGGCCGGCCTGCTGGCTGCACCCGAGGCCCCGGGACCCCTGGGGCAGGACGGCCAACTGGGGTGGTGACTACTGCACTACCTGGGCCAAGAGCACGGAGGCCACCAGGTTCAGCTGCCGGCTGTTCTGGGTGTGGTCCCAGACCAGGCTGAGGCTGTCGGAGGGGGACATCTCTCGCAGGATGGCGGCGCAAAGCACCTGGAGCTGCTCGGGACACGTGGCCAGGCCAAGAGTGGCCTGCAGCAGGTCTACACATGTCTTCTCCAGCCTGGAAGGTGAGATGCCCGTGGGGGGCAGCGACACGTCACACCCGTGGCAGGAGCACCCCGCACCCCAGAGCACCTGGCCAGGCACCCCTGGGCCGGTGGACAGAGCGTTTTACGTGAGGACGGACCTTCAGCACTGGTTTAAGTGGGCAAATGACTCAACCCCCCAAGGATCATCTGCAGCGACCTGCTGGGTGCGGGCCAGGTTCTCCTGGGGCCGCTGCGTGAGGAGCCGACCTGAGCCGTGGCCGCACTCACCTTCGGTTGTACTTCGTGGCTGAGATGATGAGGAAGAGCCTCTGCAGGGAGTCAAGGGTGTCCGGCCCCAAGTCCTCCGCCTGCAGCAGTTTACTGATCCGGGAACAGAACTTCTTCAGCTCCTCGTCCTGGATCTCCCTAAACAAAGAAGAGGACTTCAGGACCCAGAAGCACTCACTGCTCAGAACCAAAAAAAGGATAACTCCTGGAGCAGGGAAAATCCCTCTTCAGAAAAGAGAAGCCGAGTGTGTGGGAGGAACACGGCTGCACCGCTCACGGCTGTCCAGATAAATTCGCTGATTCCCCGAGCTGGTTCCTCTCACCCCGGGATTTCGCGAGCCGTCGCTGCAGCGCACTATGACGAATCTCACTCACGGAGGCCCACGCACTTAGATTTTGCTATTCCAGGGGCAGAAGGACTAAAACCAATTCTTTTTAGGGGCCTCATGCAAGAGTAGGAAATTTACTCCAGAATAAGGTGCTTTATAAAAGAAGTCTTCAATAAGCCTTCCGCTTATGGGAACAAGAATATATATATATATTTTTTTCTTTCCCCGAGATGGAGTCTGGCTCTGTCACCCAGGCTGGAGTATAGTGCCACGATCTCGGCTCACTGCAACCTCTGCCTCTGGGGTTCAAGCGATTCTCCTGCCTCAGCCTCCCAAGTAGCTGGGATTACAGGTGCCCACCACCACTAATTTTTTTTTTTTTTTCAGATGGAGTCTCGCTCTGTTGCCCAGGCTGGAGTGCAGTGGCGCGATCTCGGCTCACTGCAAGCTCCGCCTCCTGGGTTCACGCCATTCTCCTGCCTCAGCCTCCAGAGTAGCTGGGACTACAAGTGCTGGCCACAACGCCCGGCTAATTTTTTGCATTTTTAGAAAAGACAGAGTTTCACCATGTTAGCCAGAATGGTCTGGATCTCGACCTCGTGATCCGCCCGCCTCGGCCTTCCAAAGTGCTGGGATTACAGGCGTGAGCCACCACACCCGGCCTATGCCCAGCTAATTTTTGCATTTTTAGTAGAGACAGGGTTTCACCATGTTGGCCAGGCTGGTCGCAAACTCTTGACCTCATGATCCGCCCACCTCGGCCTCCCAAAGTGCTGGGATTACAGGCGTGAGCCACTACACTTGGCCTGAGAATAAAATCTTATATATTAAAGAACAAATGTTATGATATATTGTAAGGTAAGACCATTATAATTTTTTACTCGAATAACTAATTGGCTTAATTTAAAAATCTCTCTAGTAAGCCACAGGTAAGATACTGAATACAGTCCCAAATGAAAGCCTGTTTTTAGGTTTCTATCCCAGTCTAAAAGAAAGAACCGATAATGTGCAAAGGGGCTGCCGTGCCAGGGGACTCTGGGGACTCCCTGAGAAGGGCCCCCTACGTGGCTGTGCCCTCCCCAGGCCACCTATAATCCCAGCACTTTGGGATGCTGAGGTGGGAGGCTCACTTGGGCCCAGAAGTCTGAGACCATCCATGGCAAAACAGTGATACCCCATCTCTACAGAAGAATTAAAAAAATTCGGCCAGACACGGTGGCTCACACCTGTAACTCCAGCACTTTGGGAGGATGAGGCGGGCGGATCACCTGAGGTCAGGAGTTTGAGACCAGTCTGGGCAACATGGAGAAATCCTGTTTCTACTAAAAATACAAAAAAACAGCCAGGTGTGGTGGCGGGCACCTGTAATCCCAGCTACTCGGGAGGCGGAGGCAGAAGAATCGCTTGAACCCGGGAGGTTGTAGTGAGCTGAGATCACACCATTGCACCCCAGCTTGGGCAACAAGAGCGAAACTCTGTCTCAAAAACAAACAAAAAAAGGAATAAAAAAAAATTCACTGGGCATGGTGTAGTCCCAGCTACTTGAAAGGCTGAGGTGGGAGAACTGCTTGAGCTAGAAGATTAGGCTGCAGTGAGCTGAGATTGCGCCACTGCACTCCAGCCTGGGTGGCAGAGTAAGACTCTATCTCTATAAATATATATGTATATATATGTACACATACATACATATGCATACATATGTACGTATACATATGTACGTATACATATATATATGTATACACACACACACACACACACACAAAATGGAGAATCTTTCCCAGAAAGGTGGAACCCCTCACCCCGATTTAATTCCCCTCAGCATATTCTCCAAATCCCAAGCTTCTCTCTAAAAGCCAACCCACCCAAACCCTTCAATCACTCCCCACTGCTTTCAAATCCAAACTCCTACAGACCCTAAGGCTGCCTACAAGACCCCGGCCCCGCCTTCCTTCTCCAGCCTCCACGTCCTGTTTTTCTTGCTTCTCCCCCTTCACATGGACCCTCTGCCTGAAACACGCCCCACTAGCTCCTGAGCTTCCAGTCTGCAGCTCTTCCTCCTGGAAACCCCTGACCTGATGGGTACCCCTCCATGCCCCCATCCTTCACTCGCTTCCCACTTTCTCCATTTATCCTTCACCTTACAGAGCCATCTTCGATCACTTTTTCTACGCTTGCTTTCCGTATCTCTGACACATTTACAGAGAAACTCAAGTTCACTCCAAATCTTTTTGGCTTTCCTTGGAGACAGGTTCTCCCTCTGTCACCCGAGCTGGAGTGCAGTGGCACGATCATAGCTCACTGCAGCCTCAACCTCCTTGGCTCAAGTGATTCTCCTGTCTCAGCCTCCTGAGTAGCTGTGACTACAGGTGCATGCCATCACACCTGGCTAAGTTTTTAAAAATTCTGTTTTGTAGAGACAGGTCTCACTATGTTGTCCAGGCTGGTCTCAAAGTCCTGGCCTCAAGCGATCCTCCTAACTCGGCCTCCCAAAGTGTTCGGATTACAGGTGTGGGCCAGTCACTATGCCTGGTCTGCTCCAAACCTTAACCCTCAAACTATAGTCATTTATTTTAAAATATCACCAGAAATCACAGGCTTAAGTATATTGTGAAAACTGGTAAGCCCTGATAGATTACTAGCCGCCTTGAAACGCTAACAGAGGGCAACTGCAGAACTCATGTATGTTACGTAGGAAAATTCAACCACACTCTATCCTCAAAAACGCCTACCTACCGAGCCAGGGAGGCAGAGGAACAGGTATTTAAATAGTGGTGGCTCGACCGGGTGTGGTGGCTCATGCCTGTAATCCCAGCACTTTGAGAGGCCAAGTTCAGGAATTTGAGACCAGCCTGGACAACGTGGCAAAACCCCATCTCTAGTGAAGTTACAAAAAATCAGCCAGGAGTGGTGGCGGGTACCTGTAATCCCAGCTACTTGGGAGGCTGAGGCAGGAGAATTGCTTGAACCCGGGAGGCGGAGGTTGCAGTGAGCTGAGATTGCGCCACTGAACTCCAGCCTATGCCACAGAGGGAGACTGTCTCAAAATAAATAAATAAAAATAAATATCTAGTGAGGGAGTGAGGGCTATTCATTTTGTCTTTCATGTCACAAGTTTATGACCTGGAGCAGAATGTGACTGGGAATGAAGTTCTCAGTGAGTGTTTTTCCTTGTCTCTTGGCAAGGACCTTGGGATGAACATGTTGCATGCTGAGATGCGAGTATTTTTCATTTTCATACAGTCCCTACATTCACATGAATGGCATATCTGTCCAGGATTGAAGGGAAGGTTGCCTATGTTGAGCTGTTGGGAGATGGTGCTGCATATTCACCAGTCCCCTTCCTAATGAGTGGAATTTTAAGGGTTATTTGGATCAGAGATTTTTGTCCTGTCTTCAAGACCTCACTCACTCTCAACCACCCGAATCTTTCCCACCAATTGGTCTAGCTCTGAAGCCAGGTTTGCTTGTTTGTTTTAACATAGAGTCTTGCTCTATCACCCACGCTGGAGTGCAGTGGCACGATCTTGGCTCACTGCAGCCTCCGCCTCCTGGGTTCATGCAATTCTCCTGCCTCAGCCTCACCAAATTTATTTACGTTTACCAAGGGGCTGTAGTTCTGACTGTATTTTTTTTTTTTTTTTTTTAATTGAGACGGAGTTTCCCTCTGTTCCCTAGGCTGGAGTGCAGTGGAAGGATCTCAGCTCACTGTAACCTCCGCCTCCCGGGTTCAAGCAATTCTCCTGCCTCAGCCTACCGAGTAGCTGGGATTACAGGCGCCCACCTCCACGCCCGGCTAATTTTGTATTTTTACTAGAGACGTGATTTCCTCATGCTAGGCAGGCTGGTCTCCAACTCCTCACCTCAGGTGATCCGCCCGCCTCGGCCTCCCAAAGCGCTGGGATTACATGCGTGAGCCACCGCGCCCGGTCAGCATTTTCTTCTTTTAAACATGCAGTATGAAGTCTTTGCCTGTTTGGTGGACCGTGAGTCTTTTCAGTCCTCGCCTACACTGTTTCCCCCCATGACTGGCTAGCTGGTGAGGAAGGGGCTACCCACTCGTTAGTGGGAGCCCAGAGACAGCCTGGAACCAGCCTGGAAGCAGCCTGGTGGGTGATTTCTCAGCCTAGCAAATACATCCGTGCCAAGAGCGATCTTTCTTTTTTTTTTTTTTTTTTTGAGACGAAGTCTTGCTCTGTCGCCCGGGCTGGAGTGCAGTGGCCGGATCTCAGCTCACTGCAAGCTCCGCCTCCCAGGTTTACGCCATTCTCCTGCCTCAGCCTCCCGAATAGCTGGGACTACAGGCGCCCACCACCTCGCCCAGCTAGCTTTTTGTATTTTTTAGTAGAGACGGGGTTTCACCGTGTTAGCCAGGATGGTCTCGATCTCCTGACCTCGTGATCCGCCCGTCTCGGCCTCCCAAAGTGCTGGGATTACAGGCTTGAGCCACCGCGCCCGGCCAAGAGCGATCTTTCTAAGTCACAAAACCCTCCCACGGTTCCCCAAAGCCCTCAGATGGCCTCCAGCTGCCAGCCTGGCACACAGCCTTACTCCTAAGCAGCCCTCCGGGCTGTCTGTGACTTTGTGTTCTTGACTGTGAGGCAACGAAAGCTCCTGGATGCTCGATTTCCTGCCAGACGCGGAGTTCTCACCGCCAAGCCTTTGACTAAACTATCGACCGGGTTCCACCCTACTTGGTTTCGCTCACCAAGACTCTGCTCAGGTGTCACCTCCTCCGGAGACCCACCATGACCCTCCCCGACCTCCTCACCCCACGCCTGGCCGCCGTGTTGCCTCCGATCCCCAAGTCTCGAGGGCGGGTCCAGTCGGGTTCCTGCAAGGCGGGCGACCGGGCCCCCCTGCCCTGTGAGACCCGCCCCCCCGTGCCCCTAGGGAGAGGTGCGGGAAGGAGGACCGGGGCCGCAGCTGCCCCGCACCTGGCCTGGTGGAGCAAACTCTCCGCTCCTGCCGAGAACATCGCGCCGCTGCCGCTGCCGCCACCGCCGCCACCACCGCCACCACCGCCACCACCGCCACCAGGCGCGCACGAACCGCAGAAATTCCACGAGCTGCAGCGCAGCAGCACGGCAGGCCGCTCAACTTCCGGGACCGCATCACGTGAGCGCAGCGGCCTTACGTGGCTGCGTCACGTGCCGCATCACATGGACAGGAGGGACAGGTTGCCGACCAATGGGCTTTGACGTGGAGCCCCTGGGGCGGGGCGTAGGTGCCCTGGCTGGGGGTCCGGGTCGGCGCCTGGGAGCTGCGGGGTTCCGCGACCCTGGAAACTCGGTACTCTGCAGCGCCGGCGCCCTTCGACCCCGGAAACCATTCCGGCGGATATTGGGCGCCTGGGGCCTTGGGAGAGGGTATCGCTGGCCCTGAAGTGTCACTGCCCCAGTTCTGGTTTCTGTTTCGTAAACAGCTCTGTGGTGCGGGAGTCCCTATGCTAAGTACGACCTGAAAATCTGACACAAACTCCGCCACTTCTGGGCTGAGCCCAGCAGCGAACGGCAGTTTGCAAGTAATAGCCGCGGCTCTGGGCAGTTTTGGGGATTTTTTGAGCTATTTATTGAGCACCCATCCCGCCGCTCTTCCTGCTGCTTAAAACAAAACAAAACAAAAAAATCCCTTATTTAATCCCCACGATATTCATGGGATCTCGCGAACTTTATTTTACAGATGAGGCCACAGGCTCAGAGAGGGGAAGTTTCTGTTCATTCTAACAGACGTGTTGGATGCCCAGGATGTGCCGGGCCCTGGCGATGTTTGCCACCCTGCAGACGGCAGGGGGACACAGGGCAACACGCCAGCGTCATGATAAACGCTGTCACAGCCTGACCTGGGCGGGGGTCCAACCGGAGGAGGAAGGCTTCGGGGACTGTGGCCTAAGATAAGCCCAGAGGGTGTCCAGACCAAGGGGTGGGGAGGGGCGGGCCTAGGACAGTGATCGGCTCCCTGTGGCTTAAATGCACCCCAGGGGGGAACTGACCTCTGGCCACAGGGGAGAGAATGGATTGGGAAGCTCCGGAGGGAGAAAGGAGGCTGGTGCAGTTGTGGTCCAGGGAAGGGAGGTTGCCCCGAAAGTAGGCAGATTCAGTAACCATTTAGAGGTAGGATTTGTAAGACCTGTGATTGAGGAATTTGCAGGAAGGAGGAAGAAAATGGAAAAAATCAAGGATAACTTCATGTTTGTGGGGTGTCTGTCTGGGGCAGAAAAGGACGAGGAAATTTGTGCCAAGTCAGTCATTCAGTGGACAAGCGATGATTGAGTCCTATTTGTGCTAGGTAATGCTGAAGGTTCTGGGGAATAGGGTAGGGGGTGGGAATCAGTGTTCCGTAGATAGGGTGCGTCAAGGTTAGACCTTGAAGGGATAAGCCCCGAGAAGACACCTGGATGGAAGGAAGGAGGAGGGAGGGAGGGCTTCCTGCAGGAGCTCCACCTATGACTTTGAGATGCCTTAGGGCGCCCAGTGATGTCTGAGAGCACCTGGTGCAGAGGATGAAGAGATGGGAGTTGGTGGATGGTGAGCAGTGAATGGGAGTCGGTGGAGTGCGGCGGGTGCCCCTGGAGCTGCAGGTTGAAGATTGGCAAAGGAAAACTGGTGGCAGGTAGTCTATGGAAAGCCTACTGCCAGTGTTTAACGTTTACTAGGGTAAAACGTCCACACCAAAGCGCACAAACCTTAAATGAACTCGATTTTTTACGTTTCTAGAAACCAGTGGTAAATTGGCAAATGTCTTAAGCCTCGGCTCCATGGGCGGTGGTGGGGAGTCGGGGGGTGATTTGTGTTTCATAATTTCTGTGGTGTAAATACTCTTGCCATGGCTTGAATTCAAGATCTAGACCATTTCCAGCTCCCCAGAGGTCCCCCTGTGGCCCCCTCCCAGTCAACGCACACTCCCCTCCCCCAGAAGTAACTGCTAGTCTCTTCTCACCAGAGATTAGTTTTGCCTCTTTTTATACTTCATGCAAATGGAATCATACCGTACTTAGCTTTTCTTGTTCATCCATGAATATTTGGTTGGTTTCCAGATTTTGACAATAATGAATAGAGCTGCAGTGCATAATTGTATGTCTTCTGGGGTTCTGAGAGATGCACCCCTCTTTGTTGTGTAGATACCCAGGTTCATAGGGCAGCTAAGTTTAACTGAGATTCTAACTATGTGCCGGGAATCTCAATCTCTGTCTCTCTCTCTCTCTCCACACAGACACAACCCAGGCAATTTTACCAGGGGTAATATTTGACTTGTTTCTTACAAAATATTTACATTAGTGTCCAATGTCATTTTAAGGTCTCACTAGTGAAAAATGGTTGTCCTAATCAAAAGCAAAAAAGGCCAGATATGGTGGCTCATGCCTGTAATCCAAACACTGGGAGGTCGAGGCAGGAGGATCGCTTGAGCCCAGTTCAAGACCAGCCTGGGCAACATAGCAAGACCCTGTCTCTAAACAAGCAAGCAAACAAACAAACACAACTACAACACCTTAAAAACGATGCAATTAATAATTAGCCAGCGCAGCTCCCTGGAGGAAGGTTACGCCTCTCACTCATGCCTGCTGTTGGGCTGATAGGTTTTTTTTTTTTTTTTTTTTTTTTTTTTTTTTTTTTGAGACTGAGTCTAGCTCTGTCCCCCACGCTGGAGTGCAGTGGCGTGATCTCAGCTCACTGCAACCTCCACCTCCTGGGTTCAAGCGATTCACCTGCCTCAGCCTCCCGGGTAACTGGGATTACAGGTGCACGCCACCATGGTTAATTTTTTGTATTTTTTTTTAGTAGAGACGGGGTTTTACCATGTTGTCCAGGCTGGTCTTGAACTGCTGACTTCAAATGATCCACCTGCCTTGGCCTCCCAAAGTGCTGGGATTACAGGTGTGAGCCAACGCGCCCAGCCTGGGCTGACATCCTAAACTAGAACTAATCTGTTAAAGTTGTATTAGATTCTTACAATGGAAATGGAGTAACTGGAAGGAAGACAGAGAAGCAGTCAAACTTTAGCTGCAACTGCGGGCAACTGTACAATCGCAAAAATGCAAGTTATTCAGCTGAGTGAGTCACACGCAAACACTACAGAACCTTGACAGAAGATAGACGTGTGACAAGCACGCACCGCTGTTAAGTCTCCCGTCGGAGGTCGTCACACAGACACACCCAAGGGTCTCATAAGTCTGGGGGAACTCTCAGAAGAGACAGAGGCTGATTGTATCGCAGCTGAGCTTCAGGGCGCCAGGCCTGTGGGGTGGGGGTGCCTGTGCGGCACATGAAGACGTGCAGCGCATTGCAGGCTGAAGTCCCACAGCTGGTGAGGACACAGTAGGAACTTGAACCCAGGTCTGTGTAGTTCCAAAGTCAATGCCATCCCCACGCCCCGGGCCCCACACCTACAATAAGCAAGGCCTGGGATAACTTCTTCCCATATACATTTCTACCCATCTTGTACACGGGTAGAAATTCTCATCTAGCCAAGGGCCAGCAGGAGGGACCCACAGTTGTCCAGGAGCCACTGGGGCAGTGACAAGTACCTGCAAGTGCCCCCCAGCCAGGCTTTGGGCATGTGCCAGGAGCAGGGGGTTGGCTCAGCTGGTTTCTGCCTTTGCCACGTCTGAGGGGAGACACACATTGTCTTCACATTCCTGGAGCTGCAAACCTCCTCGCTGAGAACACTCTCGGTGGGTGGTCACCGAGTCCAGGAGCCACAGGCACCTGCAGAAGCATCTCCTGTGTGAGCCAGGAACAGGATACCAAGGACCTATGGGCAACTTCCCTTAGCAGCAGCTGCCCTTCAGCCTCCGGAGCAGGGAACCAGGTGCCCATGTGTCCAGGGCGTCCGGAGCCCGTGTGTCCAAGGGGCCAGGAGCTTGTGTGTCCAGGCCGTCTGTCCGTCCACCGCCTTCAGCAGCCACCTGTGTACAAGGACCATGCCGGAGCCTCAGGATCATTTCTTTAATATAGAATTTTATTTCTGGTTATAGAAACAAATGCTAAGAGGAGAAACAAAACTTCCCCATCCACATACAACAATTTAATAGATAAAAGAACAGTTAAAATAAATGAAAAACAAAAAGTAGAAATTTTAAACTTTGTTATAGCTTTAAAACATTAACGTCTGATACAATTAGAAATCACATTCAGATCTCAAACTCTTAAAAAAAAGTATGGCTCCTTATTAAAAAAATACTGTATCCCATTTGAAATGAAAACACAGGCCGCCTGCTGTTGACATGGGTGGGGCTGTTCCTTCCTCTGGTGTCATGCGTGCCCCCTCCCGGTGCTGGGGTGCAGCCACACCCCCACCGGGGCGCCCACCTTCACTCCTCCAGGGCGGGACACCCAAGGTGACACGACCGGAACTTCACATCCAATGCTCTAGAACTGACATTTCCACTTTATAGGATACCACTGCTTTTTAAAGCACTGATTATCAAACATGTTGTGAAAAATACTTTAGACAGGCAGCCACTGTAAGAAAAAAAAAAAAAAGATAACACACTCACATACACACACACACACACACCGAACAACACCCGCCCCTCCCAAATTATTTTTACAGGAGAATAATTGTTCAGATTAAAACAACAACAAAAACTCAGTATTGGCTTTAACCCCTCCCGCACGTGTGCTGAGCTGCCAGCCTTTGTCATCTGCAGGGCACGTGCAGCTCAAGTGTCTGGACTCAGTGACATCTCAGGACAGACTCTGGAAAACAGGTGTAGTCTCTCCTCCTGCCCCCACTTCTCCTGAAACCGAAATCAAGCCACATACATGAAGGTATTCTAGGTATCCAAAAAGCCTTTCTTGAAAGGAGAGAAGGACCAAACTTAAAATATTTGATTTGATTTTTATTTTTGAGACAGAGTCTCCCTCTGTTGCCCAGGCTGGAGTGCAGTGGCGTGATCTCCGCTCACTGCAACCTCCATCTCCCAGGTTCAAGCGATTCTCGTGCCTCAGCCTCCCTGGTAGCTGGGATTATAGGCACCCACCCCCACGTCTGGCTAATTTTTTTGTATTTTCAGTAGAGACAGGATTTCACCATGTTGGCCAGGC